TTATATACGTTTACACAAACGCACACAAATACACACGCATATATGCATATGTATGGAATTGTATACCTTTGTGTTTTTCCATTTATACGATTTTATTTTTATTTTTTTCATTTTTCAAAGACGAAATATGTCAGTGATAGAGCGTTGTGATAATGCTGGCACGGCATGTTGGTTTCTTTACATTTACATTTGCTATATGAAAACGAGTGGCTTTATTTTATACTCTGCCCTTGTTGATTGCCTGAATGCTTGCCTGCCTGCCTGCCTGCTTGCTTGGCTTGCCTGCTTACTTACTTGCCTCTTTGCTGCTATAGCTTGCTAAGCCCGTTTGCCCGCGACGGCGTCTCTTGTGTCTGTTAGCTGTCCCATTGCCTGCGGTTGTTCGTTCATACGTTCGTACATTTATTCGATTGTTGGTTCGTTAAGAGCTGCTGAACTAAAATGCAGGCGGCGGCTGACCTGTGTGTGAAGGGGATTTATTTTTTCTTTTTTTTTATATTTTATATTTCGTTTCTTTCAATTTTATTATTGTCATTTTACTATGTATTTGATGTGCGTGCATGTGTGCGGGTTTCTTTTAATATATATATTTTTTTTTTTTTTTTTTTTTTAATTCCATCTCATGTTGATGATGATGATGACGATGACATTCATTGTCGGTTCGTTGTTTTTATTTATTTTTTTTGCTTTTTGTATCTTCCTCTACATAAGTGTATATTGCTAAGCGCTCTCTCTCTTTAGTTGGATTTATTTTTGTAGTTCATATGCGTTTGTACAGATAGATATACGAGCAATGCTTATTTTCGTAAATACTTAGCCTTAGTATAGTTGTATGATTGTTTGTTTTTAAGTATGCAAAAATGCTCATCATCCCACAATCGTCGAAGCAATATTGTACCGTATTTTTCCTTTTCTTAATGTTAAGAAAGTTAAAGACGCACGTGAAGCAAATAGACAACAGTATGCTTTTGATGATGATGATGATGATTACGACGACGATGACGATCATAATGTTGGTCGCGTTGCAAGGGTAGAAGCAAAAAAATATTTTCGAATTCATTTCAATGTTCGTAGCAAAAATTTCACAAGTTTCAAAGTCTGCGAATATGTTTATAGACAACACAAGATACTTGAGCCTTTACTGTTTATCTTTTGCGCGTGCATTTGTGTGTTGTGTGCGATTGCAGTTGTTGCAATTGCTATAATAAACTTGTGTGTTTATATGTAATTTTATTTGTATATTGTATATTGATAAATAGCGAGTAAGTAGGCTGTCTCGACAAATCTTGCAATACAATAAAATTTCCCTATATTTTAAGTGAAATATCACATACCGAGCGCGAAGAGAACGCGGCACACGAAAGTTTACCAAGAGAACCCAGAGAGTTTTAGGAATTTTTTGTATTTTATTCGCGTTTATCACACTTGGCAAAGATGTGATCGTTAATTTGCTTGCATGTGTGTGTGTGCATAATACGTTATTTTTAAAATAAATATTTAACTTGGGGGAAATTCTTTCACAAATAATGGTTTTGCGCCGTAAGAATTTCAATTAAAAAAACAAAAAGTAGGAGAAAATATATTTGAATATTAACAAAATTCACTTATCGTAAACGCAATGAAAAATCGAGATTCATATTTTAATTATAAATACGAAAGAAACAAAAGAGGAGGTAGATATGAAAATCAAAAAACCCAGTTTCGTGCCAATTGAAAGGCGATCCTCATCACAAAATAAAAGAGCTTCAGCACGTAGGATGCCCTACAAGTCGACATATATCTCCCGTTTTGAGACGGAAAAAAATGGGCGTTCAACGCATAATTGCTAAAACAAGATCGCAGATATCGCAAAGCACAAAAATGCACTGCTTCCATACGCTTCTTATGCTAATGCTTTCTTTTCTGTCAAAATCATTAAAAATCGTCAAACCCTTAATAAGAAGAATACTTCTCAAGTATTCATTCTTACGTCTTTTCAGCTTGCAAATCAAGCAAATCAAGCAAATTATACTATAAATCTAAGCTGGACAAGCGTATAGAACTCTTTTTGTCTCTTTCAGCGTTTATGTGAGCAAGACGTGGCTCTTGCTTTTTAGTGAGTGCAAGTGGGCCTCGCCTTTTTTCCCAGCTTAAACCAAAGGGGCTTCCACCGGAGCAGATGCAGTTTTAGAAAATAGGTTAGCACATCTTTCACCTATAAAAACGCAATGGAACATGACTTAACGATTGAGTTACGTTTCCACGAACTTCAACATTGTAACCGAATTAGGGAGATATTGCTTCTACGATGCGGCAGAGAGGCTTGTTTGGCTTCAAATTGAATTATTTCATAATCTTCTTTTCTGCTCTTTTTTTCTTAAATGTTTAATTCGGATATTAAAGTGCTATATACAAAATAATTCATACTTAAGGGCTTGCTATTCCATTTTGAAAAATTTGACTAGATAGCTGGTTGCCTTTTCTTTTCTACAGCAAGGAATATATTTATGGTGAAAATCTGAAATCACCATATTATGGTTTCTATTAAGCGAACTTTCCAAGGAGTGCTTGTTGGGCGTAAAGGTCGCTTATATCTTCAGCATATATTTTTATTTTACTATGAGCACTTCCTCATTGGATTAGATAAGAGCAACAAGCTTACAGAACTTTAACTATCGACCAAAAAACAAGCGAATCCTGTACCTGTCACTGGCTAATTTTCACATCTTTAATACCTTCACGGACGCTAAAAACTTCAGCGAACCGCCAAAAATAGCCATTTGCTTCTTAAACGGTTATCAGAATCGGGAATGTTATGACATTGACGACAATACAAATCAAATTTCTTGAACTAATCTACCTATGTAAATTAAATCAATAAAAATTGGGTTTAAAAATTTAAATACTACAACATTTACATCATTTTGCATCGTGATGAAAATAGATGCTGGAACATTCACATCCGCGAATCTGTTAAATTGCGAAACTTTTCTTTTTTTTTAATGACTTGTGTAGTGAACATTGGAATCAATACGTAAAGCGTAAATTCATTTCGATGAAAAGTTATAAAATGGACTCGAAGCGTTGCTTGCTGCGACATCTGGGCGATCGTTTTTCTAAAGATAAAATCGAACCACAAATTAGTACTCATCTAAACATCGTAGGTGTCAAAGATAATGTCTTGGAACCACTTACTTAAGAAGCGAACATCATTGGGCGTCTGAGTGAGTTTTTCCTCTGGTTCGGATTACGTCTGGCGTAATCGTCGACTCTTTAACTGGAGAATAATTCTCGAACATATAGATTAATGGCTTGCTTTCACAATTCTTTAGATACAAGCCACTTAGCGAACCAGAAGAAAGTTACAAAGAAAACCGCGCTATTCAAAGACATATTTACAAGCGAGTATCCAACTGAGACTTTTCCACTGACCATCCACCAAGTCTGGTGACTTCTTGTCTTCTGGGTAACTATTCTGTAAAACTTTTATACGTTCAAGAAGGGAGATATTTCTTCTGTTATGAGGTCTGAAGAAGGCCCTCCTTCTCACATCCCTAAATCTAAGTTCTTAGTGACGATCAGAACTGCAAAAACATTTTCTTTTTTTTTTGAAATTGTGCCCAGATATATAATCTGATTACAATACCCTGCACTCAGACTAAAATATATGGGGAGAGTAAAAATTTGTTGTTGCATAGTGGCAGTATTGCCGCAGTAAATCACACGCACTTATATTGATGGGCATGGTATCTTGAAGAAGCAAGTTCCATTTTTGAAATTGAAAATCCCTTTCTATTAGAAAAAATGGGCGAAAGTACTGTTCGGAGAGAGACGCCTAGCTTTTTTATGAGCAATGCAAACAAGCCTTCCTAAAAATGTTTTTCAATAGCACATATTCACATAGCATATTGTTCGCTAGTCGAGATGAAACTTATTTGGGGAAACATGTTTCTAAACTAATTTGTTTGAAACTAGCCGAGTTCGTAATGTAACGTTAGGCTTCATTGCGTTTAGCGAAATCGATATAAACATCATACGAATAAACATTTGTAATATTAAGAATACATTGAAACGACTAACATATGTTTGAAACGCCAAAGAGAAACGTAGTGTTTGACGGCTATGAATGAACGGACTCTAAAGGCACAATTTGCAAAGGCTTAGCACAAGGCAAAATACCATAGCTCAATACTTAAATATAGTAGAATTGCTGATAAATCTGTCTACACAAAAAACAACGAATGTTTCTGCTGTCATTTTTCACTTCTCTCTCGCGCGATCAATACGAAGCAAAAATTAAAGAAACTTTCTGATTAAAATTTCTCTCCATTCTCTTCTTATTAGTTTTTTATTTTTTTCTCTATCATTTGATCTGATTACAATACAAATAAAATATTAAGCTTGACACACTAAACCGCAATATCAACAATAAATGCACTCTATTAGCCAAGCAAACGTCTAACTAACAGAATCTACTCAAAAAGCAAAAAAAATAAAAAAAATATTAAAATTTTATGCAAACCTACGTTGTATGATATACTCTGATTGTGCTCTCTTCTTCAGGAACCAAGAACAACGTTAATAAATCCTACAGGCCGTTTACAGGTAAAGAGAAGAGCGAAAAATAAAAACACTATACCTAAAAAAAACCACATGCACCAGCTAAATGTTTAAGTACCTAAAGTATCTTAATTTTTATTTTCAATATAAATTTTTTTTTTTCATCTGCTTTTGTTGGATTTCGGTACTTTCAACCCACAAGTCTTTCTCTCTTTACTTCTTCACGAAACGAAACTCAACATAACAAATTTTTAGCTATAAAATACTGAAAATAAAATAAGAAAGCAACAACAATAATAACAGTGAACATCATCGTCATAGTCAACAGCAACAACAAATACCGAATACTGAACTGAAAATGTTGAATAAAATACAACAGAAATTTTTTCATATCTTTTTTCTTTTAACGACATACGTTCGAACGTCGTTCATTAGTTTGGGTTTTTTTTTTTTACATTTTTATTTTTATTTTTACTTTTTGTTTTTTTTAATTTTTTTCTTCTTTCTGTGCTGTTGAGTTGAGTTCCATTCCCACATTTCGAACCATTTACACAAGATATAACCAGTCAGCCAGCGAAATAAAGTGCCAGGTAAAATTATACGGTCACTGCAGAGAAGGAAAACAATTTTGTGTAAGCAGTAAAAAAAATGAAGAAATAACCAAACAAAAAAACAAAAATAGTATACCTCTTGAGGTTGACAAAGTCTGCCGAGACATGACCTAGCTTCTCGAATCTTCAATATTTTTCTTAAATAAATATTTTTTCTTTCTAAGGAACGACTTCCACTTAAAAGTTATCAGTCCTGACTGTTGGCAAAATTTCGAGTTTTCTCCTTCCTTCTTAGTTCACCAAGAGTGTAACCAGTTTTGATACTGTGTAAGTAGATAGTCTGATCGTTGGAAAATTTCGGGAATTTTGATGTTGACTTAATTTTAGGCGTCTACCTTAACTTTTGCTCTGAGTTATATATAAAAGCAGTTGAACAATCGTCTCAAAATGTAGTATTAAACAGAAATCGATACGTTTTGCTTGGCAAGCAAGTTGTTCTGAGTATTGCAGAAGAGACTGCTAAAGTTATTACCTTATTGTATCCTATAATCTTCTGTTCATTTTTCTGTTTTACTGCTTAACTGGACCTTTTTTCACTCCTCTTTTTACTTAACAATGTTTCAATTCAATAAACTCCTTTTCCTTTCCTTTCTCTTTCTGTAATGCAGCGCTGTAGTTACGTCCACACGTAAGGTGAGATACTTCGAATATCAATGATATCTGTTCGTTTGTATAATTCATAATGAAATTAATCAAGTGATCTGGAGATGAAATTACAAGTATTAAGAATTACAGAAAGTAATTTCTTTGTTTCCTTTCCTTAAATCCAATAAAAATCTTGTAAGAAATCGCTGGAAGTTTCCCAGTTTTTTGATCACTTTAATAGAAATTGTTTTCTCTGCGAGTTAGGTGTGAATTACTTTAATATAACTAAACCCGAAAAAAAAATCTAAAACTATTGCTAAACGATAACGAAACCTTTCGATGGTCGAATTGGGAAAAAAAATTACGACACAATTAAAACGAATAGAAATTATGGCTACTGTAAAAAACACAACACCGCCAGTACATATACACTAATCATTGTGGAACGTTGTAGTTGTTATTTTGCTGCCTTGGCTCTCAGTCACACATAGTCATCGTGTTCGTTCGTTCGTTCGCAATAGTTGTGTGTTATACTGAGCTGTGCCGTGCTGTATTACCACCACATCATGTACATGTATATAAACATTTTTGTAGGTTATGTATACATAGCAGAGTTTCATATGAGGCGTATATATTCATTTCATATCGTTTCGTATCGAGGCTGCTTATAGAAAATAATGTACATATACATATATATGAGCATATATATATTTATATATATATAAATATATATATATATTTTAAAGAGAGTAAAGCCAAAGCAGAGCTGTTTTATATACACACAGCTACAAATATTACTGCATATATAACTATACACATTTACACGTATATGCATACACCAAGTGTTAGTTGAATGACTAGGCGACAGATTGACGGAGAATCTGACGAACGTCGCGGACGAACGGACGGGCATATGAACGAATAGTTTGACTTACTGTTTTAATGTTCGATGGTGAGTCAAGCAGAAAGGGAGCTCTGGTTAGGAATGTTACAATAATAAAAGCTGCAGCAAAATATAGTATACACATATAAACAAACGCATACATAGATATTGCCTCACTGCCAAGCAATAAACTATGTATGTACTTACTAAAGTATGTACAGTAAGTGTGTGTGTATGTACATATTATGTGTGTATGTATGTTTTATAGATGGATAGATACGTTGGTTTGTATGCTTATACAGCTACGAGTCTGTTTCGCATTGTTCTTGTTGTTGTTGTCGTTGTCGTATACGCCATGAATGTTTGGTTGATTGTTATATATGAGAGTGGTTTGTTTGCATATATACATACGTATACATATATATATATATATAAATGTATATGCATAATGTGTGTATATGTATATGCGAATATAGAGTGGTGTAATTGTGTGTGTGTATATGTATGAGGTGGATTTGATATTTTCACTTCAAGCAGCAGTAGCAACAACACTACAGCACGGAGCACACACTGAACAACAAATTTAAAAACCTTAATTTTTTTCCAGAAAGACTGACTGACTGTAATGAGAAAAAAGTTTCAAATGAAAATTTCGAATTAATGAACGACAAACGAACGAAACGAAATGAAACGAAATTGTGAACTCAACTAAATTCAACTCAACAACAACTGGTTTAATACACATTTTTTTTTTCTTTTTTTTTTTTTGTTGAAAGGAGACTCGTTCCGTTGTTACTGTTCAACGTTCATGTTGATGTTGATGAAGTTGATATTATTATGACTTTTGCTCGTTTTACTCGTATTTGAACATTAAAAAAAATTTATATTTTTCAGTTCTTTGTATATGAGCTGAACGAGGCTAATTAGGCTAAAAAAAAAATTGACTCTTTTTTTTTTTATATTTCTTCTTCTTCTTGTTTTATTGATACAAATTTGCGAGCAACTGCCGCAACAAGCAGAGACACTACATTAGCAGTTTTGTTTACTATTTACATAAAAAAAAAAGAAAAAAAACAGCAAAAAAGAAAAAAAAAAAACACCTAAAAATCTAAACATGTTGCTTAATGTCTTTGGGCGAATTGTTGATTAAACAATTACGTTTTCCTTATAAATGCATTTGTGTTCGTATGCACTATGGTAAAGCTATTGAACCTCTCTCATGCTTTATATAAATTTCAAGGTAATCTAAACGTTCGTCAATCGAACGAAAACACTGAGAGCCTTCGTAAGATCAGTTTATTCATTAAATACCTTAAATAAAACACACATGTATATATATATAGATAAACAATGCATACGATTAAGTATGGGTATGTAATATGAGTAAGCGATCATACTGTTGTTGTTCCTGTGTTACGTTTTCGGTAATTTCTTAGCGACCAGGAACAAAATGCTAAAAAAAATAAAACACAAAGCGGAAACGATCTTAACATTGAGAACACCTATCGATGGAATTTGTAGTGGTTTTGCTCTTTCTTACTTGCTTAGCACAAAACTACACTCATTTTAAGACACCACCACCATTCATTATTAATACGTTGCTACTAAGCCATTCTTCATAAGCCGTAGGAAAGACTCTATGTCTTATTCTGTTCGGGATGAAAACGTTGTTGTTTTAGGCCACAATAACGATGATGAGGAAGAGCATTCTTTTCTTTTTCTTTTCTCTTTCATTCACTCTTAACCTTCTAGGTAGCAGTGAATTAGTTAACTACTCTTAGTATTTGGTTTCATTGAGGGTCGTTTTAGAATACAAGGTGGGCCATATGTTAGTGCGATTTTTTTTTTTTTTTTTTAAGGCACATATGACTTGAATTGTTGTTAGATACTAATATAACTGAGACGTTTATATATGGTAGGGTGCAAAAGGCTCAGGAGTTCTTTTCGCTTCTATTATTTTTTCGTTAAGAACCACTTTTCGAACACAGGGAAAATCGAAGAAGATGAAGGAACTTGTGCAAGAGATAAAAAGGCGATCGGACAGCCTTTTTGTTTCCGACTGGAATGAAACATTATTTTCATGATTTTTAAATGCCTATTACGAAAAGAGTACAATTCTCGAACAAGCAGTCTTGTTTTCAGTCGAAATGACAGTGTTATTGCACCGTGGTCCATGGAGATTGCTTTAGGGATGGATTGCACAGCGTAATAAGACGTTCCCGCATTTCGTTAGGCTTTATCTACGTGCGTGCGCAAGGTAAACGCGTCAAACGCTCACATACGGAATATTCATAAGCTGAAGGTGTACAGAACAGCAAAGCTTTCCGCTAGACGTCATTTTCATGGAAAGGCTCATCTGATCTCTTTAAAGCCAAATTAAGATTCGAAATGAACTTAAGAGACCTTTATTGTGCTTTTTGCTCGAATGTAACCCTGTAAGAGAAAGAAAAAGAGCTTCTAAAAGATATTATTTTTCATAATTTAAAGCCCAATGTAAACCAAGTTGTTCTTTTCCATAAAAATGTTCAATGTCTGCTAACAATACAGGCAAAAAGAGTCAGCAGACAGCCCACCCTTTAATATTTCTCAGCAAGGAATTGTTTCGTTTTGTTCTTTTTTTTTGTATTTTTGTTTTTTTTTCTTCGTTTTGATTTTGCCGGATGTGGAATATCCAAGCATTCAAAAGAATCCAATTGCACAGGTGGAATGTTTAAGATATCGAACTTACGTCACGACAACACGATACAAAATTAAAGATGAATGTATAGAAGGTATGGCTGCTGCGCGCTATTGATGTTACATTGTATGCTATGCAGCATTGTTTTTGCTGTTAGCTGTGAGCTTATATACTTTGTTGTCTCATGCTGCCTAGAGTGTGTTACGTGTGCATAGTAAGTGAATGGCTATAGTGGTTTGCAACTTTATTTTGTTTTGTTATTGTTTTTTTTTTTTTTTCTGTTTTTCGTTCGTATAGGTCTCTTATAAAAGTCTTTGTTTTACTATCAATTCCGTATGACTAATGATTATTCCGCTAAGCCTCATTGGGAAACACTTGACATAAACACTAAACACATTTGCTATTGTTTGACAATTTGTGGGTTAATGTGACATTGGAATAGAGGATCGTTGTACATGTAAATTGTAATTGTAAATGTAATAAACAGCAGAAGTGTAAATGTATTCTTAATCAAATTATGGCTTTGAATTTTCAAGTGTAGATAGAGAAAAAGGAAAAGTGATTTACACATACATGTGCAAACGGAATATGTTTACTATAATAAAGTACGAGAATTAATATTCTCGCAAAAGGAATTGAAGTATTATAAGAGAATAACAGTAATTCTTAACGGTAATTAAAGCATTCGAGACTAAGCAATCGTTTCCGATAATTTTTCTTGTTAGAATGGCGTATTTTGTACCATGCCTTTATGCGTAGCTCTCGAGCTGATGCAGATTCAAAAAATTTTGAAAATTTCAAAATGCTTTTGTCAATCAACATTAATCTGCGAAAGGGGCAAAGAATGTTTCCTAATCGATAGATATTTGGGTTATGGTCAAACGATCAAAATTTCTAAAAGAAAATTTTTTTAAGTTTCTGTCGTATTTTCATGAAACTGACTGTTAAATAATTCTGGAATTTTCACTTTCTGAACAGTTCAGTTGGGCTAAAGCTAGATTATTAGGATCACATGTGAAAAGTGTGATGATTTTTTTTAAGGCTTGATTTTTAAATCGCCCCACTCTTTCTATATAACCCTTTCCGGTTACCGACTGAGTTGCTGGTCGAGCAAAAGAGCACCGCACTGCCAATACATCTCTTAGCTTATAGGCAGAATATGAATTCCGTGGGACTGTCTACACAGGTATTCACTTTTGTGGTATGTCAAGAAGCCCTACTCATGCAGGCAATAAACCATCGATTATAGCCAATATTCATCAGAAAGAATAATGTTTGTCTCGCACTGTTAAGATATTCTGACCGAACTTTGTAATCGGAGAAATCGATACATCATAATTTTTAGCATATTGAGCCCGTTTCACATCGCAATTGTATCAGATCGTATTGGTAACTTTTCCCGGACACCATATTCTGCTAATGCCCTCCGTCACAAAAAAAAGCCCTCATAGATATTCAGTTTTATCGTTGATATTATTCGTTCGTCTTGTCTAAATTATGGTTATTTTCATTTCGGAAATCGCATTGCCTCTCGAAATTTGGAAGCGAACCGTGCTCTATTCAAATCTCCAAAAGTCCTTAATACGTACATACTTCAGTGGAATAAGTTGTTGTACTTATAAAAATAGCGCAACGAAGAAGCCACAGTTCAGTTCAGCAGCCTGTAATTGTAGTTTAACCCTCTCTTAGAACACACCGCCAACCTGTTCAATATCCCAATATCTTAAACTATATAGAAACCTTTTTAAGCGCTTTATAAACTTCTACTGACAAAACGTCGCAAAGGTTTTTCGTACTTCTCTTTTTTTACACGTTATCATTTTATCATGGTCGAAGAACTTCCACAATGTAAGAAAAAGAACTATTTAGTAAATACACGCGGGCATCTTTCAAGTTTGAATTCCTCTCTTTTCAATTTCCTATTGTGTTTAAATTTCTAATACTTCTCGCAAAACTTTATGGCCTTTTTGAAGTTGCACTCGTTCTTTACGGCTCTACTCCTCCTTCGAATTTTATATTTCATTTTATTTCTCATTTATTAAGTAACTATAGGCCTATTACCTAATTACATAGATACATTTCATGTGCAAAAAGAAACTAAACACAACAACAAGTCCACTCTGAAAATTATCGAAAATCAGTGAGTATACGAGCCAGCTGGGTGATAAATGGGTGACAATATAATCATCTTGCTTCATGAACTCGGTAGATCATCACTTCCTACCAGGAACAAAATATGTATAGTGAGTATAGAAGTGCCGCCAATTTTCTTCTAAACGTATTCAAAGAATCATCGAAGGATTTCAGGCTCAGTGGTAAGGCATTCCAATATCTAGCAACGCAAACAGTAAAGTATCGCTCGGCTAATGAGTTGGACAAACGTGGTATTAAAATGAAAGGGCTTCTATTCGATCTGGAGATTATGTATATTTCAGCGCATAGAAATCCTACGGTTTTTAACTTTTTAAAAGCCGACTTTTGACACTGCCAGCGAAATAATTCGCACTTCTTTCCTTAAATTTCTTTTACATTCCTTCTTCTTCTCCATATTGAAAAAGAGTAAAGAATATGATTTAAAAACGTAATACGGAAAAAGATATAAAATCTAGTAGTCTAGTAGTAGATCTAGTAGACCCTAAACGATGGTCTTTGCTCATATAAAAGGATAGGTCACTTGACTAATCTGACCTTTATTATTTAATTAGTTACATCTTTTCCTTGCTGCGGTATAACACAGCATAGATGACAAAATAAAAATCTTTATCTGACCCATTTAAATTTCAATTTCTATGCTCTTTGAATTAGTTGTTGCTTACCTGATCGATATTTATTGCTTTACAGTTTATACACTTTAACACTTATAATTAGCAATAATTGCAGCAATAATAATAATAACAATAAAGTTAACTTTGCCTTGTCTGAATCAAATCCAATGCAAACTAATCATCAATAATGTAAAAACAAAAGAAGTATTGCTGTAAACATTCGATGACATACAACACACGGTCTGCTACTTAACAACTCAATAAGTGGCTTACATTAACCACAAGGTGGTAGCTAGCTAGTAAGCGGTCGTAAATGTATTGTTTTAACGTATGATTTATTGCAATTCATCTCAAGAGAATATCACAACAACAACAAAAACAATAATAATAAATCATGCATAACGATGTATGCGTGGTGTTGTGGTGTCAACATCATAAGCATTAATCGAGAGCGTAAAGCAGCAACAGTTTAGCGAAAAATCTGAAAATTTCTGCACAAAACACAGCAAAACGAAACACTTCAATCCCTTCCTGACTTTAGAGCTTAGAATACACGTCCACATAAAGGGTGTTCACACACTTGCGTTACAATTGGAAACAATTATAAGTTCAACAACTTATATTGGATGTAAGACGAACAACAGAAATAAACCTAAATTTTTTTTTTTTTCAATTTTCTACTTGTCCTTCATCCACCCGGCTTAATACTATCCTTCAAGACTATTGACAAATCAGTTAACATTAATGTCAGAGGAGGCTTTAAATATTATTTCTCTTAACTTTCAAATCTTTGACGAAATAAAGCGAAGATAAGTTAGATAGTAGAATTGAAAGAAGTGCTTGCTCATAGTGGAGCACATATAAAAAGACCGACTGTGACAATTTTTATTGCCCCTAATAATGATTGTTCGAATTTAAGGCAAAGTATGATGCGGGAATTCCTCCATCGCATTGGCCGGAAAGTGTTTAAAGAAACTTTCTTTACAAACCAGCGGAAATTTTGAAATTGGTCTGCGAGAAAAAAAGCAAAAAAAAAATAAATATGAATTGCTCAACATTGCTCTCCTTAAATGCTATGATTGATCATTTTGATAACGTCTTTCTTGATTTATTGTAAAAAGACCTTGAATGATGATAGTTTGTCGTTGGCTTTGCAAATTACATTGAATTGTTTTTTATCCATTATATCCGCAAAGTTCGAAACTTAATATCAGAACAATATGGCCATGCCGATAAAACTAACTAAAAATTGCTTTTTCTTTAAAAAAAGTCAGAATTTTGCGCCATTCTGAAACCGAAGTCCCTTTATGACGTGTCTGTAGAAATTCGGTTCTATTATAAGATTACCTTTTGCTTGTAAGAAGTCTTGGACTTCAAGAGGGTTGTTTGGATTTTAAATGGTTTCAAGTGCGCAATCTCCTGTTCTCTCAAGGTGACAAAGAGAAGTGTAGCTTTTACGCAGTTCCACAGAAGAATTGCCATAAAACCTTTTCGGGTTACACCGCTAATCTTGGTGACGCACTCTAAACAACAAGTGCTTGCTTCTATTAAAGATACTTTTTCTTTAAAAATATCATTTTAAAAAAGTTCTGTAAGAGAACTTTAACATGGCCTTGGATCTTGGCCTTGGTTCTAAAAGAAATTGCTCTTTTTTCTACATGATTAGTTCGTCTTCAAATGAAGCCAAGGATCTTATGCACTGAAAAGGAGAAGTCTTTCTAAATTTTCGAAATTTTGTTTATAGAAGATTCCTTAACTATTCATTCATTAACCACTGAAGCTTTTGAATGCTACAAAGATATTTTCCAATTTGCGCACGGACTTTATGAATACCCTGTATCTATTTATAGGCACAATGTGCGCAATGTACACATTTACAGAAAATATTCGCATCAGAGCCTTAAGTAATGACAGAAGGAACTACAATGATAGCAACGAATTTAGCGACTACAGGAAAGGAGTATTCATTCATTAAAGCATCTATACGTATGCGACAGTTCATGCGATTACAGCACATAATGTGTAGTATGGGCGCGTATACGGTTGAGAACATTTTGAAAGCTTACTTGAAAATCATACACAAAATATCACGACATCACGACATCTCTTAGGTAATAAAGAATAGCGTTAGGAGTAAACCGGACTATTACAGCTGCAACTATTTTTAGATTCAATTAATTGCACAGTGTCAGCAACCTAGTGCTGAACACTCTCTTGTAAAATAAATTTCTCAAAACGCATTTTACTAAATTCTCAATGGCGCTCATAAATGTGCGAAAAAAAACATAAATAAATAAAAAGTAATAATAATAATAATAATAATAATAGTAAATCAAATGGAAAGAAAACATAAAAATCTTAAACAACTAATAAGAACATCGACATTAGCAACACGCAAAAGGATTTATCAACCAGCATAAGGTAGGAAAGATAGGTCGTTGTATTAAATTATTTGAGAAACAGCGGTCATATGTGCTTACATATGTGCATACATATGCAATGTGTGACACCAATAAAAATCTCATCACGATTTTAGTTCTCCATTATCCATTGACTACGAAACAACCGGCGCACAACGCTTCCTTAAATAATGTCTGCAAACTCAAGCAACAAACGTTGGTTACCAAAAGATGTAGCTTCAGTTAATTATTTCACATGTGTATACCTCGGCGGAGATCATTTCAATTTAAAGCTTTTTTATAAAATCGAACAAGTCGAAACTGAAAAATTTCTGCCAAATTTTGTTCAAAATTTAAGAGATTAAGTGCGAGAGAGTCTTCCTTCTGCTTTTTTCGTGCAAAACTTTTCTCTGCAAGATTTCCAATAAACACTTCATCTTCTTCTACAATATAATAACCAAGCCATTCGAAATGAATTAACGTAAATAATAAGTTTAAAAATGTTTCAAGGCGAAATTTACTTACTGCTGCGTCATGCTTACAATCGTCGTTCAGTCAGAAAGCATGCACGGAGCCAAAGTTGCCTTTATATTCAACGACATACAATCAGGCAATATATTCATAGCATGAGCGGTCAAGTCGGTCTATTTGCCAGCTATCTTGTGCTATCAAGCATTGTAGAGTCGTTTGTAGTTGAGCTGACTGTCTACTTCATCATCATTATCATCGTCCACCACCATCACCCTCAACACTTACTCAAGTCAGTCAGATATATAAAGAGATATACACCAAACAACGACATCAACGACAACAACGACAACAATAACAACACAAACGAACGCCCGACCGACCAACCATACATTCAAACATATAAATGTTAGTTTTTCCCATTGAAATAAACAAATACAGAAAAAAAAAAACCAACAACAAAAATATTCTCTATATTTTATATATCAACACAACAACGCAGTATGATCCCACCATCATATCTACACGTTAGTCGTTGGATGGATGATGGTTCGAAAACAAAAATCACTTTATGCGACCTAAGAGATATGTGAACAAAAACACAAAACAGTAAAAAAAAGAAAAACAGAAAAAAATCCCAACTGACAACATTCCACACACGTGTGCAAGTGTATGTGTGTGTACTGTGTATATAACGAGCATACAGCAAAAAAAGCCCCATCCATGAAACACAACAGCACTTAAATGAATCCAAATAATAAAACTAACAACAAAAAACTAAAAAAAAAAAAAATACCAAATAATTCTCTACACATACCATACCGCCTCACTACCATCCCCCTCTTCCAACCACTTATCCAACTGAACAATAAATATACAGACATGAAATAATACAAAAACTGGGTTGCCACGCAAAAAGAACTCAACTAAAATTTGTGCACAGTAGCGTACTTTTATAAGGGGAACATTTCAATAACTTTACTAATCGTTTATGACATCTATATATATAAGTTATATATATATAAGCTTTTAAGTTTCCTTACCACTTACTACAGATTATTTGCTTTAAGATCAGTTACAACAAATATGTCATTTGATCAATTTCATTAATTTTTAATCGATTGACGAAATTACCAAAGCCGGCATTTAACTGACTACGACGATATAAGTTTCTATTAGTATAAAGTATATCTCTCTAGCGCAAATGTGAGTCATATAAGGGAACTTGTATAGTATTAATCGGACCAAGAGAATTAAGAAACAACTGGAGTTAGTAATGAAAGACGAGAGTCACTTAAAATAGAAGTAGGCTATAAAGAATTCTTGCATCACACAAAATTTTAAATTAAGTGTTTCTGCTTCTAGAGTAAAAATATATTTTTTTGCAGGCATAAAGGCGCCAGAGCATGATAAAAGGCAAGATTTAACTTTCAAGAAAGATCATAAAGTAAAGTTCTTAACTTCTCAGCAGTGCATTCATGATTGAAGCATAAAAATTAGTCATTTTTAAAAATAAATAATAATAAGGATAAATGGACAGTAAGAGATATTATCGTTAACTATAGTTACATGACCAACCATATACTAGTAGTTTTCATTTACTGTATAACGAATAGTAAAAATATCAAGGAGACGTACCACTGAAAAGCATCCATGTGACTTCTTATGAAAATTCCATATTTTTATAAAACTTCTACCCTTTTATTATACCTGTATATTTACTTTACTGATTTGTTAGGCAAAGTGTGAGGTGTCAGCTTCATAACTTTTTCCCAAGCTAAGAAAAATCAACTTCAGCAGTGCTTTAATAAAAGACCCTAATATCATCACTATTACAACAAATTTAATGCAGAAGACATTAAGACCTAATAAACTGACGTGCAAACTTTTCACCTTTTGTCACTTTAAAAAGAAATGTAAACATTTCACGAGGCTACATTTTAAGCTGCTTTAAAAGCGGTCATATTTAATTATTTAGTTAAACTAAACATATTTAAACTGTCTTACTTCATACAAAATTAATAAGTGGTGCTTGTGTTTATGTCGTCAGTGTTAGGTTTTCAAAAACTCTGTACTTTTAGACATAGTCTTCTTTAACATATATTAAAGAATTGATTAAATGAAGAAGCGAAGCAGAAATACGGACTGATGTCGCACCCTATTATCTTATTTAGGTCCTCATACAAGTTATCTCATTCAGGTCCTCATACAAGTGAATCAAATAAATGATCAGTCACCTTCAACTAAAACGATAAATTTCAATCTGCTGTTTAAATAGTTATGAGCAACAAGCCGTAGAAAGTTTACAGGTTACCTGATACGTATTTACAGCAATAAAGAATGCATTCAATTTTTCAGAGATACATACAAAAGTTGAATATTTCTACGAATTTTTATTTTAATTCTTATCAGCATGCTTTTCACATTATCGTAACCGTATTACAAGGACATGGACGAGCAAAATATTTTCTTTGTCAACAAAAATCTCTTTCATCTAAGTATTAATTATTAATTACCCTTGTATAACATTATATATGCGACGCTTGTGTTGTTTCAATTGTATCGTACTTTATATTTAAAAAGATAGGTTGGCAACTCCAATTTAATACTCATGCCCCTTATGAAAGCAAACTTTTTTTTAGACGTTCTTTCGATTTTACATTAATAATTGTCTTTGCATTTCTCTCGTTCTTTCTCTCTGACATTCTCTATTTCGGGAAATCTCTTTCATTACAGTAACTCTCTTTTTGTGTCTTATATAAGGCCTTTTTTTTTCTATAAAATTTTCGCTACATTTTCAATATTTAGGTAGAAGCATATAATAAAAACTATTTACAACGATAAGCATAAGCTTGCGAGAGTTGTATTGTACATCGTTTCGTTTCTCTTTTCAATGCACACATATATCTTGCTGACTCACTTCAATACATTATATAGCAAATTGTTGGTATTTCCTTTGTATTCACTGTATATGTGTGTATCTATATGCATATACAATACTTTTGGGCAAGCTGGAGAGAAAGGCAAAGAATGAGGTAACTATATGTTTCTTTGTGTATGTCGTTTATTCGTATATAAATGTGTGTGTGTGCATATGTGTTGCGTGCGTGTGTGTGTGTGTAAATCTAAGTGTTCACAAGACGACTGACTCTGGTGTACGTATTTTTCACAACGACTGGTTATTTCTGATTTTAGCATGGTAGACTAAGTACATATTCGCTCGCTCGCTCGCAGATCGCAAATTAACACGAAATCTTCGCCGTAAAGTCGTATTTATGTTAAAAGAAAAAAGCGCGTAATTTTTTCCTTCCTTTTTCTTTTTGAAGTAGTTTTTCAAAAAAAAAAAAAAAAAAATTAAATATAAAAGGGACAAGAATTGCTGCAAGTTCCTTAATAGAAGAAGTTTTTAACGCTTTAAAAATAATTAAAATAAATTAATAATAAATAAAGTTAAAGAAATGGACAGAAAAACCAAATCCGGCTTAAAGAGTTAATGATATGAAATTGTTTTTGTAAAATTGAAATGAAAAATAAAGCCGCGTCACAAGCATTAGTAGTTAATGAATATGAAACTTTTTTTAAGTGCATTGAAAAAGTATTAAAAACTAAATAAATCCTCGTCTATAATAGAAGTCTCTGCTTAAGAAATTTGTAATCAAAACAAACTATACAATACAAACACTAGCGCAATAATATAGTAAAGTAGTAAATTATTAAAAAGTTTAATTGACCAAAGCAGAAACGTAAAACATAAACAGATATAAAAAAAACGAAGTAGAAGAAGAATTGCGATACACACAAGAAAGATGTCAAATAGCCATCAAATGTTGTGCTCATACCTAAATGTTTTTTCTTATCAGCATCGTCAGCATTGTTGTCAACAATAAAGCGAGTGCCTGCCTGCTCTCCGTATTTGATAACAGATTTCTTTCGAAGAAAGCGTAGATAAATAACAAACTGTTAAGAATTTTCAATATTAAATCAATTCCATAAGAGAAGGGATTGTTTTACTAAACTTTTTCCAAACAAATAATGTGCACAGAGGTAAGTTTTCTTTATTTATATTTTTTTTTTTGATGATTTATTTACTTTATTCTTGAAATATCCTTAAAAAGTCTTATTAGGCCCACTTCTATATACATAAATATATATATATGTATATATGGAGAGAATATGTCTTGCTTTATTTACTCCGCTAGCAATAAACATCGCGACTACTCAGGATGCACATGTAAATAATAATAATAATAACAAGCACGTGGTAGTTATTGCACAAAATTGCTTTTCTTTTATTCCCTCCTTTTGTATACACGGGTGGCTCCACTACTACGTTATGCTCATTCTTTTTTTTTTTTTCTTGCTTCGTTCTCGCACAAACAATAATTTGCGTTTGCTTGCGAAAACTTTGTGCAATTTATACTCATCGAGTATGAAAAGCGTATACCACACTCTATCACTTCCTCATATGTTTTTAGCTGATTACGAATGCACTATAGCATGTATGGCATGGCAAAGAGACCCACCACACAAAACACTTGTCTATCTTATCAGCTGCTTTCGTTGTTAAAGGAGAATAACTTACCACCAATTACACATATTCACCGTTGTTTTTTTTTTTTTTTTTTTTCCTTTATGAAGGGTTGCCTTCTCTTGCCATAAGTTGTTTGATAATAATGACACATCACTACTACTATACACTCGATAGAGAGGGATGCGTATTAATGGTGAAAAAAACATCTTGTTAGACGCACTCTAATAATAATATTATCCATATACAATGCAACAGTTTGTAAAGTTTCGTATGTGGAAAGGTTCATATAATTGAAAACGATACGTAGTAAGAATTATTTTTCTATTTTCCTAACGAAATCACGACACAGAGCATAGCACAGTTTTTCTATTAGCTGGGGATTTCTACTTGGAAGGTTTTTTTTTTTTCTTTAGAAAAAGTTCATGATGGTGCAGTGTCCTAAGACAAAATACTAGCTAGAATTGTAGCTATAGCTTAATTTTCAATGGAGTCGACTATCTGCGGGTACATACATCTTAAGCATATTTCGCTTTTTATTCAAAAGCGTTGTGTTAAACATATAACTGCTTTAGATTGGATAGTGTAGTTTATGCTGAAAAGCTGCCAATACCTTTATGGTTAATGATTGACATTAAAGATGCCAAGGGAAAAATTGGGAATTGGGAACCAATTTTTCTTTATTAGGTTTAAACTATTTAAACAGTTAGATAACTGTATGAAAAAGAATTGCCTGCTGAAGATTAGCGTTCCCATTACAGGTTTTCCTCCTTGAGATCGCTGGATAACAGTGATAAACACAAATTCATTTGTGTAAGAGAATCAGCACAGCTCGAATTCAACATTTACTGGCATTAGCCTTACTGGTCAGACTGTGCCATTTTCTTTGCTTTTATGTGCTTGGGCTAAAATGCAATCTTTGACAAACTATTCTCATTCAAGTGGATTTCTTAGGCAAAGCAATTATATGAAATTACGGCTCATTACTTACTCAAGTCAGTTGTAAGGCGGCCGGAAGTTTTTTTAACGGAAAAGGGCTTCATAAGAATATTGCGATCTGCTTTTTATTCATGTCCTTCAATATTTGCGCGCACTAGCGCCTCAACTAAGAGACATATGGTGTAAGTAAGTTCGTTCGAAGTCAACTATTTTCTCCAGATTTTCTTTCTTCTTCCTTGGTTATCCACTTCCCAATACTTCAATTTCGAATACCTTCACCTTTCTTCTTTGTCTTTTGAATTAAAAATGTTCACTTTTTGACTTCGTGCGTATTTTTTCACAACTACTAAGTTAAGTATTTTGTTTGACCAAGTATTTCACGTATTTCCTTCCCGTATTACTTATCATTTGTAAAAGAATACCGCAAAGGTGTACATAGCACAATACCCAAGTACAACTTTATGTTAAAAAGGTGAAAAGAGTACAGTACTGTCCTTGGAACTAAAAACTCATAGGAACACGATCAACTAGACAATGTCTTCACACGCTCGAGCTTGGAAAACGATTTTCAGTTTGATTGTAAAAAATAGCTTTGGTAAGGTAATCAAATATATCCCTTTCCTGTTTTGCGTAGAAATGCGAACAAAGCACAAAAAAATTAAGGAATACTGTCTTATGAGAAATTGGTTTGGAAGAGTAAGACTGGAGAAAGAAATAACGGTTGAAGGAAGAGATGGAATATAGTGTATAGAAAATATCAGGAATAGAAGAGGGGAATGAAGGAAAGCGAATTATGGAATTAAGAGAACATATAGTAACTGGAGAAGTTGAGTGGAAGAATAAATGAAGAAGCAATGGAAAACGAAGTGGACCAAAAGAAAAATAATGTACAGGAAATGGACGAAATAGAAAGAAATCTAAAAGAAGCGATTTGATATGACCGGAGTAAACGAAAGAAGAAGAGTTTTGCAAGATCTCACATAAGACGAAAAATTGACGTCAGCGTACGCGATCTCTACCCCAACCTAAACCATTTGTATTTGTTTTCGCTGCTATAAATAGGACCCATAATAAGCAATGTAAATCTTATGTTGGCCAGTCCTAAACCTGCCGTCAATAGAAGGGGTACATTGTGAATGCATCAAGTTCCACAGGTTTCAACCGCGTAATTGCTTTGACGATAAGCAATTCTTTTCATTTTCCACGACTTACTGCACTGCAATTATTTTGTTTTTAAAACAGCAGCAGCTGCTGCAGGTCAAGGTTGACTTTATTGTGCAATCATTTATACAATCAATGGTAGCCCGATAGAGGGTGCTTTTATCTTTCCTCTTAGGGCTACTCTTCATGAAGCGCGTTTACAAGCCCCAAATTTCAACCATAAAAAGCCTTAGCCTTTCCAAGTTTTATGATTAGTTTCCAGTAAAACACTTTGTTTTTCTTATGGGGACTCCTGAAGCAAAAATATTCCAACTTGGAAAAAATTGTATAAATTGTACATTAACGCTACTAGCAGCAGCAGCTTGCAAGTAAAGATAAGAAGCTCCTTTCAATTCTATTGATAGGTTATCATTTTCATAGTTGTTTTCCTCATGCCCTAAAAGCTAGACGGATTATGCCGAGTAGAGTAGAGGTGACGTATCATTGCATTTATGTGATCTGCAAGTTGCGCTTAATAATCGCTCCGCCAATGACCTATTGTTGTTCTTATGTTCTAGAGTAACAATTGTTTCCATTGTTTACGGATCAGCTATACTTTCATTCATTACGGATATTTTGGGCACGTTCGTCTGTCTGGCTTGTATTCATCACAAGTCATTTCTTTGTGGTCAATTACCCTTTGAATAGTCACTTGTTCCCACCATTAAGGAAACACACAGACTATGGGATATGGGATATAGACATAGTTAACAAACAAAACAATATTTCGATACACTTTGACACACATTTTGCAATAACGCAACATAAAGTTATTATAGCTCGTTCGCTTTTATGGAACACGAGAAACGTTAATAGCAATGTCTCTGCTGGGAATATATATATGGTATACGAAAGGTTGGTTGTATCTCTCTAGATTTTGTGGCGAGCAAACTCATACCGGCATTGTTTCTCCAATAAGCACGTTTAACGTTTAACGAACGGTCAATGGGTGGGTGGTTTCACTCATGTAAACACACTCACTACTGTTTGTTTGTTCATTTGTATTTCAGTCATATGGTGAGATTACAAAATAACCAAAAAAAAAATGAAAAGACAAAGTTTTTCATGCACTTGTTTCACTAAGAAGCGGTAGAAGAAGAGGTAGCGCGAGATATTCAATGTACCATGCACTTGTACATGCTTTATATGTTTTCAATTTCGTTTTACGGTGTCATTTTCTTGTTTTCCTCTTTTTTTCTTATTTTTTTTTTTTTTTGCATTTTTTTGCATTTTTTTCTTTTTTTTGTTTCAGTAGCTACCACAGCAGCAACAGCTGTTAAAAAAAGGACTCAATTATTTGTACGCCAAAGTTAAAAATCAACAGGTTGTGTACAAGATTTCAAATAATCATAATTAATTATACACTCAAACTAAAGATGCTTGACGTTTATGGTGGCACTCGACAAAAAGACCAGAGAAAATTTTTCATTCTCTTTGACTTCATAACTTAGAAAAGAATGCTATAACATATAACACACGTCTACAAGCATCATCATTATTGTTGTAGGTAAGAAAGAAGAGATCCCAGCTGGAAAGATAGCTAGCTATACTATATGCTTAGAATTATTTTGCGAATAAATAATTCGCTCTTTCTTTCTTTCGTTCTGCTTATAAAAGGCAAAATGTGTTAACGTAAAGATGGTGTAATTTTAAAGAAAAAACAAAAAAAAAAAAGAAGGAAAAATTCTAGTTTTTATGCATGTGCACAGATATCAGAATGCGTTTATGTAAATGTGTATGAGAACTTTTATGGGAAATGTTATATATGCTTACTGCATTATGAAAATAAAAACTACTTACACGTTATAATCCTAGCTATAGAAAATGACGGCCCACACAGCCCACTACTACTACTACTAGTACCCATTATGTTATCATCATCTAAGCAACAAACCAACCCTATGTGAAGGTTTTTATTATGTCAGAGTACAAGCATACTTGCATATACACACATATATAAATACATAAATACATACATACATACGTACAAAGGAATCAACGAACGAGCGAACATTACGAACATTAAACTAAACGTACATATTTCACCCAATTTCATATTTACGTACATTTTAGCTTTTCAACGTCAACATCGCCCACTTGCCTTTCTGAATGCAAAGTCAGTCTGACGGACCAACGAACGAACGAACGAATGAACTAACCAAGCGACTAACAAAACCATCCTTGCTACTACTACTATACATTCGCACAATTACAGACGGATAATATCGATACAATCATCGTAGAGCTGGTGTTATTGTGTATCTGCGCAGTGTAGCTGTACAAGTTTTTTGGATATTTGCTGCAGAGTTTTACTACACTGCCAATGTATAGGTGTACAAAATCGTTCCTTCGCAAACTTTTCACAACCGCATTATACGGAGAGTGATATAAACAGTCGGAAATACCCATCCCCCACACAATCAACGTCATGGAAAGGAAGGCACACAAAATACACACACACACACAAATGATGCTTCTCAAATGCAAATACTAAAAAACTGACATTTACGAAAAACGTCAAATAGTATTCTAACTTCCCTCCCTTTGCACCCTATACAATGTTTGTTGCGGAATTGTATATCTGTATGTGTGCGTCTGTGTGTATGTGTTTTACTTGTGTTCAACCTCAACTCATTGTTGCAACTCATTGCTGTGGTTCTATTTAAACCCAACAAAAACTCTAAGCGAACACCCAAGGATGGACGTATCTCTGAAACTGTTCTCCATTCTGCATAACAGCAAATGTACATCATATACGATACGATACGATACGATACGGTAAAAGACTAAAAATATCAAATAACATGACATGCTATAATACGCTATTTAATGGACAGAGGTATCCTGAAGGAGAGTTAGAACTAAAGCTTTCAAAAAAATAATCACGCGCGCGATAAAAACTTTTCACTTGTTATTATTATATCGCGCGAGAAAAATTTTCTCTCGCCGTGGCTTGCAAAGCAGGATTGTTTTAAACGGCATAATAAACTTCAAGGATTTCATGATGTGGTTGTTGCATCCTCTTTACTTGCGAGTTTCTTGCTTGAAGTGATGGACTTTTAAAAATGTGAAAAAGTTTTTGGCGACATCCCATGCAATGCAGGATGTTTTGTAAAAGCTTTTAGTCATTTTAAAGACCTTAACGTTGCATGAGCTTTTAAAGACCCATTAACCAAATTATTTAGGGGCAGCGGTCCCGTAATTTCCAACTGAGTTTCTCTCGTCTCCATAAATGCTCAATGCCGCAAAAATCTGCTTCGTTGCATTTAAGAGCCTCATTATTTTGCGCGACTTTAAGATTTGTCGTACAATATGACTGAATTGGCATAACCGACCCGGGCTTTCGAAGGGCTGGCACGCACTTTGGAAATTTGTTTTGTTCCTATCTGACTTTCAGAGTTTTTCGAACGTATACTTCGAACTTTACTCTACGTTGCTGCTCTGTGTTATTCTTTAAGGGCCCCAAATGTAATTTTTTTACATTCGCGGATTCAACCGGCATTACTCGCACCTGTTCATAAAAACAGCTAATTAGATTTCTTTCAAAGCCACCACATAACATGATTTCGAACGCGTTTTTTTTTTTTTTTTTTTTGCGTTGCTTGCTTTCTCACAGTTTGTGTACGTCTCTCGACTCCTGTCGTTAAAGCATACAATATAAGATGAGAAGGAAGGTTGCATCTTTATTGTTGCGAATACGAAATTTCCTTATACCCTTAGATTAGGTCTTAAAAAAAGATGATCGTTTAAAGCCTTAAAGTATGTTGTAATTTTTGATAACAAAAAGCCAATGTTATGTGCGGCGCCTGCATATGCGAATATTTATTTATCTATTACTCATATTTGTGTTATAGAGAATAGATTTTTTTTGCTTTGTTTTGTTTAAATTATGATGATTTCAACTTAAATCGGAACACAACACTGTGTACGAATCACCATTGACGCCGTCGTCGTCGTCGTCGTCGTAGTCATTTAATATTGCCATCATCGCGTCATTGCCGTCATCGAGCTATGCGTTGTGTATTAAGTAAAGCATTTTTGTTTCGTTCGTTCGTAGTTGAACGATCGATATGTAAGTTGATTTTTGTACTTGTGTACTCTCTGTATACCGTAAAATATTGCACACAATACCATACGTATTGTACATACATACATACATACATACAAACAAACATACATACAAACATATACATTCACATTCATATATACATGCATACGTACAAAAAACATACATACAATACACATATATAAAACGTTGGTTGATACCCACTCAGGATTATATGAACATTTTACATGTATATAAGTAAACACATTCATTATATACCGTATACATATACCCACGTATGTGCATATACAAACACAGGGTAATGCTCATCAGTTGTTTTCGACATGAAATTTATATTGAAGCGTTGTATTTTTGTTGTTGCCATCTCGACTATTCGAATGAGTCTTTCCATCGAACGAACAACGAACCAACGTTTTCGCCCGTTTTCAAAGCAACTCTACATCACATAACAGACGCATACATCTATATATATATATATATATATATATACGCATATAAACAGTTTTTTTTTTCTTTTTTTGTTATTATTATTATTATTATTATTTTATTTTCTATGCCTTGCCTGTGCTTCTCTGTTATCCGCACCGCTCTCTGTGATCCCATGTAGATATTTTTAGTAGTGCGACTGTACTTCGTGTAAGTGTACGAATAAACCAACTATAGTCGTTGGTTGTTGTTGTTGTTATCGTTGCTGCCATTGCTGTTACTGTGCTGCTTATAGACATCTTTTGTTTGCTCATTCGTTCGGTTCGTTCGTTTGGTCGGTCGGTCGTTTAATACATCGCTTCGTTCATTGTGCTCGTTTTATAATAACTGGCAGTACAACGTACGAAACGCATGTACATATAATACAACCCAGCACATTCCTTACCGTCCGTATACAACACAGTACGACTTGCTTGCTTGCTGTTGTTATTCTGCTTTAATGCGAGTCAGCAACATTGGATGGATGGATGTGGAAATATATTCAACTTTTATTTTTTCACATTTCATTTTTTTTTTTTTTTTTTTTTTTTAAAGTAATTTTTGTTTTGTTTGCTTGCCATGCCATGTTATAGTCCCAATACTACTGCTATTACTACTGCATGGTAAAGCGGTTGTGCTCTGTCGATTGTTGGATGAACGGAGAGATGGATGGACGGGCGAGCGGGCGGTTCGTTGGTCGGTCGGTTTGGTTGGTTGGTTAGTCGATCCAACAACAATCAGCAAATTGTATATATAGTATAATATGGTGTGGCTTTTAGTATTATAAAAGAAAAAGACCGTATTTACGTATTTTTAAGATGGAACAACAGCGGGAGCAAACGTGCGGAGAGAGTGAGCACACAGTCAAGTGAATGCCATCTATGATAGCTGACATGGCGGCAGCAATGGCGACTAACAACGTCGTTCGTCGGCACATTACACACAACGGACGAATATACCGTACGTACATATATATATATATATATGTATATATATATGTATATATATGTGTGTGTGTACACATACCTATAAATGAGTATACGGGGCCATACGTTTGCGATGCGTTTATACACTGTAAAAATGTACCTCAGCCGTGGCTGTATGTAGCACAACGAAATCGTTTGGCATCGTTCGTGAAATTTCTCAGTGTATCATAAATATGAACAAACGTACACTTACTTGTTTCTTTACTTTTTTTTTCTTTTTTTTTTTTTCGTCTTCTTATTTAGTTTACAGCCTAAGTTTTCACTCGATGGCTGGCTTTGGTTGCTTGTGTTTTTTCCTCGTGCTGTTGCTGCTGGTGCTAATGTTGTTTTTCGATTTAATACTTTGGGAACGAGAAAAATACGTAAAAATGTGAAAATGTTTTCTTTTTCACATTTCATAGTCGATTTTTATTAAAGACTGAAACGTATCTGCACGGGTACGTACTTACGTACGTACGTATATCTTGTGACTCTTTTTAAGAGCTTTGTTGACTGCTTGACTTGACTAACTGACTGAGCATTGTTTTTGGCTTTGTTGTGATGGTCTTTTCGTTTACGGCTATAGATTTTTGGAATAGTTGTTGTAGTTGAATACTCAGTTAAAGTAGAAAACGCAGTTTTTTTATTTTTATTGTCGTTAAGTTCGGCTAGAATTTATTGACATCAAGGCGAATGGTTGTTGCAGCTTTTTAACCTCCTAAATTCGGCTAGCATCTGTCTTCGCATTAAGCCTGATGCTCATTGTTGGTCTCAAACTGAACAGATGTACTAGATTAGCAAGAGTAATGTACGTCTTTTTCGAGGCCTGTACTTTCTTTTAGTTCTTCTCCTTTGCGTGCCTTTTTGACTATCGCAAGAAACTGAATTCATGCCTTCTTGAGGGCGCAGAAATTTTGTTCGCATTATTACGAAATAATTTCAAGCTGGCTTTATTTGCAGCACCTTTTCAAGACTCGTTTAAATAAGAGACGATACCTTGTAAGTTAAAGTTTTCAGATGTTTCGAAGTCAGTTTCGAGGTTATTGTCCCACTGCTCAACTTTAGTCAAAATAAAGTGAAATTATAATTTGCTAATGCCCCTTCGTTAATCTTCACGTATGTATATAGCGTGAGATTTAACGGACGATTTTTGAGTGACCCCCTCAAGTCTCTAATAAGTCTTAATCAAGCCTGAATAGATGAAATTTGCTAGAATTCCTTATGCTTCAAAAATATGTGCCAGCTTCCTCCAACGCATTGTAGTGACAATCATTTTGTTGAAACGCTTACGTGTCGCTTAAGTGAAAATCGTACTGACTTTTCACGCTTCTTATGGTTTGTAGTGAAGTCTTAAAACCTGCTAGAATTTTGAAGATTTCATTTCATTACCTCAGACTTTGTTGGCAGAAACTTTCCAAAACGTGTGCTTGCCTTTTTGCATAACTCAATAATAAGTTTTTACGCTATAAAGCCTAGTTCCGTAATAAAGTTGGGGTCTTCCTTAGCATACATTAACTAGATCAGATTCGTTGATTACATATTGATCTGATGCGCCAAACCAAGTCATATTAATATAACTCAAATATTTAATAAATCTCCCATTAGTTTAAGGGAAGGAATGCGTTGCAATCACTTCTATGACAAATGTAACATATCCGCCCGCTATCGCATTTAGAATCTTTGACATAACTTTCTAACATCTCGTGCAATTGTGAAAAACAATTTGTCAACAGCTCAACGAAGTTGAATATTTAAATAAATATCTTTAAATCAGTAAACGAATAAAGCGATTGTCCGTCAACAGGATGTAGAACAATCAGGTACAAATGTCATTCTTTTACGTAGCTGCGACCATTAAAGCAGACAAAGCAAATTGCGAGTACCTGTGACTGGCTATAGGTTGTTGTTCGAATTTATCAAAAATATATTGTGCCCAAGGAAACGACGACAAGACTAGCATAGATGTGCATTTAACTCTCTTCAATTCTTTGACAAACTTTATTGTAAGATATGCATGTTACTGTTGTTCTCTGATATTGTATGCATTTCTAGTTTTGCAGCGCAACAATGTTTTCTCTCCCAAGCAGATAAACAATCAAAAGATCAATTGTTTAGCGTGAAATTTATGATACGCTAAAAATTACAGACTCTCACGCAAAAGCGTTGTTGAGATATCACAACAACTGCATACATCGCAATAGCAATATCACCAACATCACACACTCAGTACTACTCGTATTTAGACCATCGATGTTGATGATGGAAGAAAAATAACGAAATCATTGATCTAAAATGAACAGCAATACAAAAAAAAAAAAAAAAAACTCATTGCGTTAAATACATTTTTCTTTACCTACGTTAAGCATTGAACGATGGCAATGCGATGAGTAGGCTCTTAAGCCTAACCTAACCTGTATATCGAATGTGTACATGAATATATGTAAGAAGAGAGCTCTGCAAAACTAAAAAGATATTACCGTCAGTCACATCGCTTGATTATGTTGGTAGAGAAGCAATATATGCACGCACTCAGGCACAAACAATGTACTTAAAGTGATGGTACTGACGATATGTTCACATTTGCATTCACATTGAACGAAATCTGGTTTTCTCGGGACACAAATGACTTCGTCGCTTTAATGTAGCTCTAACGTTTGCAAAACCGGCTCGTTACTCGACTCGATCGAAATAACAGAGACGAGCGCGCACAACACAGCCGAGCATGTACAGATGCAAAAAAATGACTACTTTTCAGATCCATTAAAAAAAAGCGAAGAAAAATAAAAAAAAACTGTACAACAGCAGACGCAACAAAGTAATTTCCAGATCTTCGCAATTGCATTGAAATGGTCTGTTGTTCGCAGTTGTTGCAGCTATACAGTGAAGGCTTTTTAACTAAACAATCACATACGATGTTATATGTTTTGAAAAACAAAAAAAAAAAAAACAAAAAAAAAAGCCAGGCAATCAACTTTGGCTTTAATAGTTTAATGTTTCCACTTTATAGAGTTGTTGCTGTTGCTGTTGCGCTGTTGCTATCGCCCCTTCGCTATTGCCGTTGCATTTGTTTGTTTATAAAAGAGCGAGAGCTGGTTTCTCCAACGTATTATGCATTTTAAACGGTTCGATGTTCAGTTGCTAAAGTTTCCAAAAACCTGGTCTGTCTTAAATGCATATTGCGGGCCGTAAAATATGCTCTAGTTTTTCTTCTCCGAAAATCTCGCCTTCATACCCTGTCCCCTGCCTATTGGTCGCAGGGAGAAGTTTGAAAAGTGTCGGTAGTTTTCCCCGGTTTTGAATGAACCTCTCACCGGCTAAAAGAGAAAAATTCATTGAGAAACAAAAGAGGCTGACACTTGCAAATCGACATGTAAGTCGTAACGAATTTGTTTCAACGGCTGCAAACGAAAATATCATCAAAAATATTGTGGAAATCCCCGTACAAGTCCTATGAAATTAGCTTAAGAGAAGAACGCATCTCCTAGGTCTGGTCATAAAACGTATCGCCGCGGGATTGGTGTCAAAAAAAGATGAACAACTGACGGGCAGCATCACATGACTTTATTATCTTCCATCGCTGTAAGTCTGCGCTCCTCAACGATGTTGAAGAAAGTTATGTCTCCTCGATCAGCCACCGAAAATTCGTGAAGGGTCCGCGCGTGTGTGTTTTCACACTTAAAATGCAAATAGGAAGCCTCCCTCTGGTGACGGAAGATTGTATGTCTCTTTGACAAGTCCGGATACTTTATACACAGAATATATAAATTTCTTTGATAATACTTACGGCAAACTTATAGGCCCGACAAAGATTGCCGACAGGCCATAACTGCTTTACACGGTACACAAGCTGCTTCACCGGCTGGTTGTTTAAGTTATAATACTTTGAAAATTTGACTTTTAAACGCAAAATCTTGTTGTCTTCTTGCTTTGGCTTAGTTGACTAAATACGTTCGATAGCTTACATAAACCAACAGCTATCAACCATTTGCATAGCGTTACCAATAAAGGCTTGATGTTATTAAGCCAGAGGTGCATCGATATGCAAGAAGCATAAAGTCTGGGGGACAAACTTTTAACTTTTTTATTGAGGTTTCCATGGTTTATGATGGAACGGATATCTTGCATGGTCGTTTAGTTCGCTGCTAGTTATAATTTTGCAAATTTTTCGTTAATGATGGAATTTTTTTTTTATTTCTTACGTTCTTCTTCGCTAACCTAACCAAACAAATTCTAAATAACTTTGGTAGAAGAATTATGGAGAAAGAAATGCTAAGAAGATTCTAAAAGCTATGAAAATAAGTTAAATAAGTTTAAATTTGCCTCGAAAGTGATGTGCTAACGCAGTATATTTGCTAACTTATAGGCCGGCCTTATTTAAGTAATGTGTGGACAGGTTTCGTTTTCTTTTCAAAGGCAATTAAAAGCAAAAAAAAACAAAAGTCAGAAAAAAAAAACGCTAAAACTGTTGCATTTGCATTGAGTTTGTTGTTAGCGAGGGCTTACGAGAGTGAGTATATAAATTAACGAAACGACCTTCAGCCGTTTGTTGTCCCAAAATGTTGCCGCTTTTTCGTTGCTATTGTTGTTGTTGTTTTTTTTTTTTTTTGTCTTCTTTTTTCAATTTCCCTTTTTGAAAAGAAAACTCCAAATGATGGTTGGTCGGTCGGCCAGTTAATGGTTTTTCACTCCCACGTTGTCTAGCAGCGTATTTGAGTGCACAATTTATAGGCTTTACATACTTCTTGTGCTGCTCAATGCAAGAATCCATTTAAAATCTACCCTTGAAAACGTCATTCATTCATTGAATTGAATGATGAGTTTGGAGAGCTAATACTAACGCGCCATGTAGTGCACGTGTTTACATATTTTACTTACGTCTTTCTCTTTCTCTGCTCTTTCTCTAAATACCCCCCTTCGCCAACCCTATGTTGTGACTATACTACTTCTGTTTCCGTTTAGGATGCAAGAATAACTTTCGTTTAAGAAGATGGGCTGACTATACGCACACATTCGACTTACAGCAAATATTGTACATGCGTCACAAAATTTGTGAAGTGTTTAATCTGACTCGCTCGTTTAGGTAACATTTACGGTTATGCGTTACATAAACTGACAAGACTTTGACTTGTGGAAGTTTCGGACATTTTTCAAACATAAAGTTTTGTTTTCGGAAAACTCGTCAAGTGAGGTGGTGAAGCCGCCAACACCTAACACAGGATTTAATATTCAGTCTTTAAAAGTTTTTACGAGGGCTGCATGATAATTGCCCGCGAGGAGGATCATTAACGTAGAATCCGTGACTGTTGGCGAACAAAATTGTTCGAGCGACCTGTTTAAAGAAGCGTGTGCTATGCGTCAAAACGTTTGCGCTTTCGTTATAACTGGGATTGTTAATTCTACATATATATATATATATATATACATATATATAAAGATTATTTCTCTTTTTTAACGGTTTAAAAAATAAGTTTCTCCCTTTTTTTCTTCAAATTGTGTACTTCGAACAGTGTCCTCGTAAGATATCGATAGAAATTTTCTTACTTTTGCAGACATTGTAACCGTATCTTTTAAGCAAGGCAAAGGCAGCCCGTTCATGGAATAAATTATTCAATGAATACAATCATCCAACCCCTAGTAATACAGTAAACATATGTGCACATTTTTCGTTCGCTTTACTTTTCAGACAACTACAACAACAAGAAAAACGAAACAATACTAAAGATGATACTAACATTGGCCTGCCAACCGTCTACAGTGTTTGATATTTTCTGTGTTTGTTACAATCAACTCTCTGTACATTTTATACCTTTGCACGACCGACAAATACTTAGTCCCAAAATGGTTATAAAACACAAACTATGTATGTACGAATGGCTGAACGACTGTTTACCGGCACGGTGTTTTCAAAGTATTTTTCTAAAAATACGTAAAACACAAAATACATCACGCGCATATATATGTAAATGCATGTATCGTGTGTATGTATGTATATATGTCTGCTCTATTGTGCTGTGCCTTTCATATAGGCAGAGTGGTGAAAATGTAGTCTTTCTTTTTTCATTTCTTCTTTTTTTTTTTTTGTTTTTTGATTTTTTTTGTTTCCTCTGCTTGACATGAACGGAAAACGTAAATGCGACGACCGAGGATTAAGCAGTTGTTATCCTATTGTAGTCGTTATAAGGGATGAAGAAACACAAAAAACAAAAAATTCATAAACATCGCCACCACCATCATATAAAACCGAAAAGAACGTTAAGGCACGTCAGCAAATAACACATGCCGTTCGAAGACAAGCATTGAGTAGTAACTAAAAATGAAATCGATTCAAACGAAACTCACCCTGAAACAATTCAAAATATCGAATACTATTTACCCTTAAACACGAAAGGTTGATATTCATGCAACTTTGCAAGCAAGGACATATGGCAACTCATAATGGCTTAATGGAAATGTTTGCTTTATTTTTTCTCTTTTTTTTTTATTTTCCCATTATTTTCCCAGTTCTTCTCGCATTCTCAAAATGTTCGACCTTTTCTTTTCGTGATTATGAATGTATATAGGTTTTTTCAGTTGTTAGGCACTTGGGTTTAAGTATTAGCTAAAAATGTTGAAATTTAAAAATTTGATTTTTTTTTTTTTTCTATATATTTCATTTGATGTATTGATCAAAATCATTTTTTTTTTTTTTCATTTTCATTGTAGATAAATTCTGCAATGGGTCTTCAAGCAACAGCCGCTACTAAGCGGAAGCACGAACTCACCTTCGACACTAAGGATACTAATACCTATACAGCAAATTGTCCGCCACCTTTAAAGGCTAGCAAATGGTCTTTAAATAATAATAATTACATCGATGCCGTCGAAGAGCAATGCACAAGCAATAAAATTGCCATTAATGGCATTAAACATTGTAGGACGATCGCCGATGATGATATTAAAATAAACGGTATCAACTCCAACAACAATAATAATAATAATAATAATGAAAGTAAAAACTGTGACAGTACTTGTGGCACAATGGCCCATAGTATTATGAATGGCAAAGATATTATTAACAAGTCTTCAACGCCAGTGTTAAACGCAATTGTAGCCACTATACCGGCCGCAGCAGAGGTTGATGCTACTACACCTTTGCCACCTACTTCTATTACGCCACTGCCCGAGGACAGCATAGCGAAATTGGAAGTCGTCGCTGCAGTACCTTGCGAGCCGTGGGTCTCAGCACCGGAGCCTGTGGACTGTATATCGAAACTACAAGCAGTAGCGGTACCTACGGATCCCTGGGGTAGCATTTCTACACGATCGACGTTAGCTACGACTTTGCTTAGCACCGACGAACTCGATGACGACGATGATGACTTTGAAGACGATTATGAAGAAGAGGAGAGTATTATACCTACCTATTGCCCGTTAAGATATCATCCTTTTCCTACTTCGTCTCCGTCTGCAAACGCACATCAACCTCAACGTATTGCCAGTTTTCCACAAGCACAAAGCTACGCTTCACGGCCTAACTATTATTCAGAACCATTTCCCCAACAAAATTGTTCAAGAACTGGTAGCCCTCAACACATAAGAGTGGGAAATAGCTTTACATGGCAAAACGGCAACAATGGAAATTTTTATGGCGCTCATGAATCTTTCTCAGCGCAGCAGCAACAACAGCAGCAGCAGCAACAACAACAACAACAACAACAACAACAACAGCCCCAACAACAGCAAACTATACGTTGCGCAGAAAATGGCAAATCCTATTTAGAGCTAGGATGTAGCAGTCCTGCTCCTCCGCCAAGTAGTGCGCCAGTAGTAGCGCAGCCTTCAAGTTTTACAAACATGCATGTCACTGAGACAAGACATCCGATCAAACGTTGCTGTGACGGACGCGGTAGCTGGTGCAACACAAATAAGCCCTGTTACAAGGATATACGTTTGAAAATACGTAATCTCTCAATGTTTAAACTGTCACGGTTTCGTCAAGTATCCGAACAGTCGTTGTACCGTTCCGTACTTATTTGCAATACCCTGAAACGTATAGATCGTGAAATTGAAACAGAAGCGAAAGAATTGCATCAAGCTGCAGCGAATGTAGCCCAACAGCAGCAACAGCAACACCAACATCAACATTCACACTATCACCATCATTTACATTCGCATATGCAACATCAGGCACCGCCGCCACCTCATCTTTCACATGGAAGCCACCATCAACCAAGTCCACCTCAGTTACATACCCAGCAGCAGCAGCCGATGTTGCATCCGCAACATCAAGATTATATACCGGTACTTAATTGCGGTCGACTCACCGGTGCCATTGATTATCATATTCAACATCAAGCCCAACAATCGCATCAGCTACAACAAAACTTTCCTCATCCGTATCAACAGAGTCAACCTGAGCGTATGGATACTCCGCCACCGGCTTATCAGAAACCCGCCCCCAATACTCATTTTACGTTAGGCAACGGCAATAACGCATGCAATATAGTATCGGCGAATGCTACAATGCATCCCTACGATCACTATCCATTCCGGGAGTCTCATTCGGGACGCGCTACTCCCTTTCCAACCTGCCAACCTGTGATATCAACACCACCTGCTGCAACGCCCGCAACCACTCAAGTGCAATCATGCCAAACGGCTAACATCGCGCCAGCAACTACTACAACAACTTTAACCTCACTATCGGACAGCGATTCTGGCTATGCGGACGACGATTCCACGCGTTCGATTAACTGGAGCTCTGTATTAAGTCTCTCATCGCAATCGGCTTTGGATCCATTAAACAACAACGATTTATTCTCCATATTACCGCCAGCGAATCCGGCTACTGCAGTGCCCGTAACAATAACCTCAACAAGTTCCTCTGCGTTAAACGGTAATGATAACTGCAATCAAACAGCGTCGGTGGCCATTAGTGGTACATTCACTACAGTGCAATCAGCCAATAGCAGCACGTCAGCCTCCTCAGGCAGTACAAATAATAACTGTAATACAACGCCTCCTTCATCTTCCACGACAGCGACATTTACCACACTATCTACCATCTCATCGGCTACGCATTCACTAACATCTTCCTACGTAAACAGTATGAGTGCACACCTGAATCCCGCCTCGACTTGGGAATATAGTTTTCTTGACATGGAATTCGGTCTGGGTTCCGAGTTTACAGAACTGGTGCCAAGCTGTAAATTATCCTCCTCCGATGATTTATTTAAAAATAGCTTAACACCTGTAGCCGTTACGTCACGCTATGAAAATGAACTTGAACAACCCGCACATATAATGGTCGGCAGTTAGTATCAGTTGTAAATGTTTTTTACGTTCGATTTTTTTTTTTAAACAAGCAGGTTCCTTCTCGTCCAGAAAAGTATTCTTTTACTTAAACGAAGCTTATTACGAAGCTTTGTATGCCAGTTTATATTTAAGTTAAAGACATTAAGAATTTTTATTTCATTTTTATTATAACGGTCGTCTTCTTCTTTTTTTTTTTACAAATTTTTGGTTTCTCTCAATAACGTAATAACGCTCAGGTTGTGAACAATGTGTGTGTGTGTTTCTCTCGCATGCAAACAACAAATGGAAGGAAGGAAATATTAAGTGTTGACTACTTCTTGAGAATAGCTTTACAAGAAGTCAAAACAAAAACAAAAAAAAACAAAAAACGAAAACGAATGTGAGGTGAACGGAAAGGTGTTCTCAAGATTTTTGAAAAATTCAGAAAATATATTAAACTGTATTTTTCAACTTCCATGGGTGCAATGTTATCCTTTTATTCATATATTTTTTGTTTTCGTCAAGCTTTTCATTTCATTAGAAAAAGAGCATTCAGAAATTAGCAAATTTTTTCTACAACAACAATTAATGTAAATAAATATTTTTTTTTGTTTGTTTATTATTGAACTTTAAGAAATCTTTCAAAATATTGTTAGCTGCAATCTAAGATAAATTTAAGTGTAAGTAAAAATCATGGTTTTAAACTTCTTTTTTTTTTTTTTAAGTGACAATGCCTCACATAGCACTAATGTGTGGCGGACACAATCATTTTTTGTTTCTTATGAAATTTATTGTAAATAATTGTCTAGCAAGTAATATTTTATTTTATTTAAAGATTCAATTATTGCTGTTAGAGAGCGATAACGGCAATTTTTAAAGAAAATCACAAAACAAAAGGACAAGACAAATTTATGAGAAAAGAAAAACAAAAAAAGAAATTTTCCAGAGAAAAATAAATAAGAAAAAGATTTGTTTTCAAAAAATTATAAAAATAAGAATATCATTTTATCATAGACTGATTGAATTATTCAATAAAATATGGTAAGTAATCGCAGATTTCATAGAACGCTGGTTAAACAATTTTTCATTTCAGTTGGTAAGACTTACATTTGAATACGCTTCTGCGGGTTGGTCTCTGTCCTATCGTTGTCTGGTAGACGCTATTGAGTAGGTTCAAAAACAATTCTTATGTTTTGCGTTAGGGACTTTGCCGTGGGGACCTCCAACTCCATTACCATCATATGAAAATAGATTACTGCTAATAGTTTCATCCTCGCTAAAAAAGCGTAGGTTCTTTTTAGTCGCCAGATTTTTAATCAAGCTAATTAATAGCTTAATTAATTCGCCAGCCCTATTAAATGAGATTAACTTCAATATTCCGGTCCGTCTATCTGAGAATTTTCGCCACATAAAACATAATCACTCAGTGTGGGTCAAAACCAATTAAACCAATTAGGGTGACCTGTAAACATTTGGACGATGTGTATAATTTTATCTCCGTATCGGACTCAACACAAAAGAGACTCCATACATTTCGAATATGCCCGATGTCATAGCTTTAGCGACGTATTAAATGAATTAACTCATGCATCTAACTAATTAATAAAGTAAGAATTACCAGGCTTTTTCGGACCTTCGTTTTATGACCTATAGGCTTCTTAGGGTGTAGCAACTGTATCTTCCGTTCACTTTCTCATTTTTGTCACTCTGCTTGTACAAAAATATATTTTTCTGTTGCACTAAATAATGTAATAAGTGATCGTAGTTTACTAGGCTATGGAGCAGCCTAAGTACGTTCACGGAGTAACTCTCTTATCGAATGTATATGCCTAGCTTAGCTGAAATTTAAAAATTGTAGCTGAATTGAAATGAAATAAATGAAACAACAGCTCGATTCTTATGACCGCTGCTTCGAAAATCAAGAAAATCGGGTGGAAGAGCGTTCTTATTCGGTAAACGTACTTCCCAACAATCACGGCTATTCACAATTATGCGAAAATCGCGCACACGATTGTGTCGGGATAATTCTTACCGACTGTCGTTACTAACATCACGTAGTAAACTTCACAGATAGGTCTGCCTAGCAGTGAATATTATAGATAATATTGCAGCTCTGATACAATATGTTCAAAAAATAATCAAATTTTACAAATGTGCAAAAAGGCCACGTCGTTTATTGATAAATTATATATTCTGATATCTATTCAACTTTTAACTGCTGAACAATTCATAGATATCGGCAAACGAATTGCCAAGTCGCGCCTTTAACCAGCTCATCACTAAACCTCAATGCGATAATCTTTAATTATGATTCAAATTGGAAAAACTTTCGCAGAAGACAAAAATGCTTATAGTGCTGGCTACTTATCTCGTACAAGGGTGTTCAATTGCTACTTCGAGACGGTCACAAGCCACTTCGGAAAGCAATGCAAAGCCGAATAAGTAAAAAAAAAAAACGGTCGTGACTGAATCTTTTATACCAAACACCACGATCCTAAAAAAAAGGAAAATAATTAAATTTTCATACTTTGTAATATTAGCCGGGCCAGTCCGATTTTCTCGATGTTCCGTTTATATGGTGCCTGTGTTCTACTCTGCGAATAATAAGCCAAAATAACGGAAAGAAAAAGTATTTTCAGTTTTTCCTTACATGAACATGTGGGCGTTGTAGGCATGCCCTTTAATCAGTTTGGATCATTTTGAAAATCTTTTGCAAGATTTTAGGCGACATCTTCACTTTTGCGAATGGGGGAATGTTTGCCACGGATACTACATAGTTGCGACAGACGGACAGACGGACAAAGGAAAGGTCGAACATGCTTAGGCGCACTTCGAACTTCGAACTCGCCAAGAGATCATATACCTAAAGAGATTTTTGAAGCTTCTCTGCGTTATAAAGGTATTGAAAAAAAATTCTCTATTTTGATATGCTACAATATTAGGTAGGCATGGTTTGCGCAGATTTGCACAGCCAGTGCAGCTGCGTTCCACATGTGCGTTTAGATTTATCTGCTATAGTTTATAAGTAACCAGCAAGAAAACATATTTTATTCCTTTTGAAAAACAAACTTCACGTAGTACTACAGGCATGCTCTTCGACCGATTTGGCCCTCCTGTTCAATACCAAACTTTGTGTAAAAACTTTGCAACGGCCAAACACAGACGGACAGTCGCAAATGCACAAATCGTTTTAGAACTTGATGCTGACCTGGACTATATATACTTTGTGGACTCACGAAACCGTCCTCCCGGACGTTGCAAACGTTTTGGCGAAATGAATATACGCCTCGCTCTTCAGCGGTACGTATAAAAATGCACTAGTTTTACAGGTCTGCAACCGATCGAAGTCGGATGATTAAATTCGATATGATCATTTGCAGTTCCCGAAAATCATGTTCGCCATGAAAGAAACGTTTGATAAGACTGTCACACAAATTCAACAAGCAGTGCCGAAGGCGATCTCAAAAAATTACTTCATCTTTTAAGTTTAAGGACCTTGCGGATAAGCGGGGTCCGAGTTATAAACCGGAACCAGCTGCTTTTCTCAGGGAGGAAACTGCAAGTGTATGATAAATGAATACAATGCAAGAACAGAAACAGAGCAAAAATCCGTGATGTACGGCCAGCGAAGGGTTAGCATGCAAGCTTAAGTAACCGACTATTCATATTTCGATCTTAAATGGATGTAGCCTATTAGAGATCCCTCACAGGGAAATCATAATTGGGGGACACGGTCGGCAATAACTAATGAAGTAGCCATTTCTAGGGGGCTTTCTTAGCTTGAACCCCACGTTCCAAATTTTCTTGAGGAAACGTCAGCGACACTTAACTGTAATATGTATTTTTCCCCACAATGCTTGCTTTTAACATTTGTTTCAACCGATGACTCATAACCTGACTGGAAAATGTTCTTATTATACCATACACCACTTGTGGTACCAGGTACGGTCGTATATAAAAGGGCTTAAGAATCTCTTAGGAAGAATATACCGATCGATTCAGAATCATTATATGATGTGATCTAAGCCGTTAAAATCTGAACTTCTGTTATTTCATTTTCGTATAAAAAAAAGTTGGATGATGCTAGCAAAGATTTTATGTGGTTGGCTCTAACCGACTTAAACTATTAATTTAGGTATTATTCCTTCTGAACAAAATTTTGGCAACACTATGTGTTAAAAAATTTTGGCAACATTAAGTGTTAAGACCACTAATAAGAAAATTGGATTCTTTTTGGCCGTTTCCAAATATTCGAAATATGAAATTATTTTGAATAGTTTTCCAATTTTCTACAAAGTATTAAAGAAAGTAAAATAAGATATTTACAAATAAAGCAAGATTTTGTTTTGACTGATCTACGCAAAATTTAGAGTTGCCGAATTTTGTTCACCTTTGCTTACCGACAGAAATGGAGTAAGCCAATAAACAGGCTGGTAATGCTGTGTGTATTTACTCGCTTATAAACGGCTGTTAAAAATAAGTGCAGAAACTATTCATTTCCATAAAACAAATTTAAAGTGAAATTAAATGTATTAACCTGCCTTTTGAAGATTCTGAAATTTATTGAGAATCACTAGAACTAGAGCTAGAACTATCCGTTGACATAACTTCTACATCATCTTGTGAGGCTTCTTTGTGTGAACGTGTCTCCAAGGCCACTGAATTACCCGACGAGCCCATTGACATATGCAGCTCACCTAAATTATTCCAATTAAATTGATTTTGAAAAGCGTTTGGCACTTCAGTCATATTCCGTTGAGTGTCGGGCAAATTGTTCTGATGAGCAACACTCCCACCATTAATATTGAGATCGGATTTACCCAAGAATCCATTACGCATCTCAATGTCTGTGGGATAAGGACGTCGTACATCGCCTGAGAAGATATCATAATATATTGATATATATTATTTATATATTTATTGTGGGTTAGTGAAAAAAGAATTTATAATTTATGTGGGGCGTTTTTTATGGGAGTAGTGGTCCCTGTTTCCAAACTGTCTTTCGGTTTTCATAATTGATTCGTTCATAATTTCTTTGACAAAATTTCTGTAGCAAAATAGTTTAATATTATAATCGCCCGGCATTCCATAAGAAAACTCACCTATGCACCACGTCAAAGGAGCACTTACTGCATTCGCTGAACTAATACGATGGGCATATTTAATTAGTTCCTCTGAAGACACTGGTCTTTTATTGGCTTGATTTATGCTTGCTAATTTTTGGCGTGCTTGAAAAATGGCGGTGGATAAAATATGCTCAGCTTCCTTTAACGATTTTTGCAATTTTTGTATTTCGCGATCCTAAAATTAACCAAGCAATTTGTAAACTGTAATGGAAATGAAATAAGGACCTATACCTGTATATCAACTTTTGCTCTGAGCTCGTCCATTTTTTGTTCAATTTTAGCTTGTTCATCAGCCAGTTCTAAAGTTTTGCGAAATTCTTCATCTTTAGCGACCAAGAGATCTACTAAGGCTGTATGTTCCGCGGTGGATGTTTTCTGATGTTTTGGGGCCAGATTATCAATGAGTTCTCTGAAAGCAAACGTCGTAAATAGATACCCATATTTGGCGTACACAAGAAGTATCACTTGGCTATCAATTCCATATCATCTACCAGCAGTAAGAGGCGTTCTTTTGTACTTAAGTGAAAGGACATTGTGTAAGTTTCAAGTTATTTTTTTGGATGGTGACTTTAAATGGACTAAGCCAATGAAAAGTTTCTTTGTAAACAACACGCACCGTTTGACATCTCTTCAGCAACAGACAGCGTTGCCAGAAGCAAATAGTGTCATGAAAGTTAATTTGTGAAATTTTTGTTATCGATAATTATTTATAAATTTGAATTGTTTTATGTGTTAACATATAATTATGTTTATATGCAAGATTTTCTAAACGTGCGATATTATTAACTACATCCTTTATATAACCGTTAAGAAAAAAATTAGCATATTTTTTTTTATAAAACATCAACAATATTTTGCGTTCATTAATTGAATATCAAATTTTGAAATGCTTTACTTTTCTGCAGCTACCTAAACATGATGCGTCACTTTTCTATTGAACGTATAAACTATCTGTTTGCTACAATCAACTGTCCTACTGGACTGAAAATTTTAAGAAAAATTACAAAATTTTTGTTGAACATTTATTAACATTTTTTCAATCTTTATCGTAATGTCAAACGTTAAACCAAATAGTTTATCAAATAGTTTAACACCGGTGAAAAGTGCCCTTCTAGCAGGAGCTGGTATAGGTTTACTTTTTTTGGTTGTTAAACGTCAACACATCTTAAGTTATTGGAACCGATTCCAAAACCCTCTTAAAAGAAAGCACGTAGTGTTAATACAAAACGCAAATGATTGTCAAAAGGTGGTGAACATATTAAAAAGGTAAGAAATGAAATTCCTTATCATTATTTATTTTATGATACGTTTATTTATTTAGCCACTGCAGTGATTATAAAGTTTTGGGCTTTGACTGTGAGTGGGTTACCGTTAATGGCAATCGTAGGCCGGTGGCATTGTTGCAGTTGTGTTCCAATAGGGGATATTGCGCTTTATTTCGTTTGTGCTGCATACGTCAAATACCGAAAAGCTTAAAAGATCTCCTGGCAGATGAAGAGGTAATAAAGGTGGGCGTAGACCCTGGCTATGATGCCCAAAAGCTGGCGTTGGACTACGGTGTTGGTGTGGCTAGTACTTTTGATTTGCGTTATCTGGCCACTATGGTTGGACGTAAACCAGAGGGCTTAGCGAAATTATCACTGTCTGTTTTAAAAATAACACTTGATAAACATTGGCGTCTATCTTGTTCCAATTGGGAAGCCAAAGATTTAACTGAAAAGCAAATCGAATACGCTGCTAACGACGCTTTCGTGGCTGTCGAGATTTTTAAAACTTTGGCTCGTGAATTCAAGCCAAGGTAATTCGTAGAAAATTTCATTAATTCTTATTTTAATGAAATAATAGTTTTTTCTTTCTTTTAGGTTATCTTGGCTTTCAGACTTCGCGATAACCAAATGTAGAATTGAGCCATATTTAGAATTACAATTCAACAGCAGCTTTTCGCAAAAGAAATCAAAAGCCACAGTAAACAAATCCGTTACTCCGATTAAAACGCAAAATCGTAAACTTAGTACACTTTCTAAAGCGTTATACGATAATTGTTTGCTCCAAGCACCAGACGGCGAACTTCTTTGTACTATAGACAAACGTAAAGCCGAATGGTATTTGCAACAACAATTAGGTGTGAAGATTGAATCTGAACCATTCATAGTACGTTTAAACTTTGAGCCAGCGAGTAGAGCAGTAGGTGAGGTAGGACGTTACTATCAGACTCCGAAAGAAAATCGATGTGTGGTCTGTGGCGAACGTAATGCATTCGTACGCAAAAATATTGTTCCAAGAGAATATCGCAAGCACTTTCCAGGTAATTTTGTATATAAGTCTATGTAGACGTTCGTTAAAACTTTTTTGAAGATTCGAAATTTTTATCGTATTTCTAGTTGTATTGAAATCTCATACCTCTCATGATGTTTTACTGCTCTGTCCCAAGTGTCACCAAATAAGCAATATATCGGATTTTAAAGTTCGTAATAAACTGAGTGAGATGTGCGATGCTCACCAGAGAATTCCGAAACCTGCAGAACTGCCAGAACTAAGGTAAGTTTTAATCGACTCTGATTAAAGCTTAGTAATTTCAATTATGCTTTTATCTTCCAGGCAGGTTAAAATGGCAGCTCGAGCCTTACTAAACCACTCAGAACAAATACCATTGGAAAGGCGTAAATACTTAGAAACTTTAGTATTAAATCATTTTAAGGAAAGTGAGGATATTAATTGGGATATGATAAAGGAGGCATCGGAGCTGCATACGAGTGAACCAAACGACAGTTATTGCACGCATGGTGAAAAAGTGGTACAAAAATTTCAAGCTGATTTTGGCGGTTTAAAAGAACTGGAAAAATTATGGCGTCAACATTTTCTTAATACTATGGAACCGAAATATTTGCCGCCTCTCTGGGATGTCAATCATAATGCCAACAGGTGATTAAGAATAGAAGCGATTTGACAATTTTAATTTGAAAAATATTTTGCCTTTAGACTGGAAATACGCGCAACGCAGGGAAGAGTTAATGAAGAAGATATGCTGATAGCTGGCGTACCATTACACAAGGAATAATCTGTAAAATTTGGAATAATTGTAATCATTTTTAAAATTTTAACTTTAGATAATAAAATTTTCGTAATTGACTTGCCTGCCTTTGATTCGGAAGTTACTTTCATATTTGGCATTACGTTTTTAACATCCATCAAAGATCTTGTAACGTATTCTTCTTAAGTCGCCAAAAACAACTTCCATTGATTTTGTAAATTTGAAAAAAGTAAAAAAAATACGAAGGATTACGTATCCAAAGCCATTGAGGCCAAGTTTGGCGAACTCTAAAATTCATGAGGACTTTAGTGGTTATATTAAAAATATAAAATCAGAGGTGAACCAATGCCGGGATCTCGTCAAACAAATAAACAAAAGAAGAAGTTTGAATGAAGACGTTGTTGTGTCTGGGCTGCCGCAGACTGTTGCAAGCGTCATAACGAAGACATATTAAAACATATGATGTTCCCTTGGAGAAGGACCTCATGCTGAGACTACATGAGATATATTTGATATGAGGGAGAGATAAAAAGAATTCGTGTAACTCCTCAACAACTTGAACTTTCTCACGATAATAATGGGATACCGTTCCTTAGCTTGATTGGTTAATCTGCAGAAATGTGTGGAATGGAGTGAGAAATATCACTGACTTCTAAATTCTCTGTGATATGTATGTTACACTCTTTTTCTTTGTATAGAATCACTGGGTTTTTTTATTTCAAGGAATATAATATATGTCGAAAAATAATGTTACTTCGATTAGTTGTAAATTATGTCTTGTTAATGCGACTTCAATCTATACCACACAAATATGTTATCCGTTAACTTCAGCCTGGGTTCGGTTGTCGGCCATAGCAGGCTAACATGCATCGAAGTCATGCTAGCGTCTAACTTGAAAATTGGTCGTTATTATGTTCAAATATTGAACATGGGAAACTTTAATAATGACTTATATGGTCCGGCGTTGAGGATGCACTCTTTTTGTAATCGATTAAATACCTCCCCAAGACATAATATGTTACCAACACATTTTTAAGTGTGTACAACATCTCTTTTGAATTATTTCGTTATATCTGATCAATCTGCTTTGTGTACTACGAGTCAATTTCAATGTCCATTTTTATCGTCTCACCATGCATTGATATGTGGTTTATTTATAATGCCCTTAACGGCAAATAAAATCTGGAGCGACTATCATTATTTGAATTTGAGATCTAATAACATCTTGAGAAAGAGCGTATTTGCCTAATCTAGATCCCCGCAGGGAATACAATCAACGCATTAAGTATTAAGTCTGCCAGTTTCATAAGGAGTTTCAATCTCAGAAGAATGGAGTTCCTTTCTATCAGGGGAAAATCGAATGAGCAAACAATTGAACCCCTATCCTAAGATATCGGCCAAATGATTGAATACATAAGAAGAATTGGAAGAAGGACTAAAGCAAGCAAATAAAAGAAAAGTAAAAAAATTATACTTGGCTGCGACCAAATCTTTTACATCCATCACCGTTATCCTGTAAAAGGTTGAAAAAAGGAAAAATATAAATTTGCATAGTCCATAATATTGGGTGGACGTAGCCTACTACATATTCCTATTCAGTTTATGCTGCATATGCGTGAGACCAAATTTGAAAACAGTTGTGTACTGCGTTCTTAAGCGCGTTAACGTAGGCCTAAGTAATATCTACTGTGTTTTATTAGATATGTTTCCTGTTAAATTTTTATTTAGGCTATTTGCGATTGGAGCTAAAATACAGCCTACTATTTTTAGATTTGATAGCGGCCATTGAACTATTCCATTGTGTACTTCATATGCTGTTCCATTGTTTTCTATTTTTTAAGCAAATATCGAGAATGCCTTAAAATGTCAAAGTAACTTCATTTCTTGTTTTTTGTTGTTGTATCGTTGTAAGATTTTAAATATGTTTTCTCAATCCGAAAAACTCAACTTTTTGTGATGACCAGAAACAAAGGTACACTTTTTGACACATCCTCGTAATCTGAAAAGTCCGTATCGAAAAGCTTTTGACTCATAATTAATTAAAATCCTTACTTTTTATAAAGTAGGCTAACATTCCAAGACGAACACAATTTTAAATTTCTAAATTTCTTGTTGAGTCCAGAACGCAAGTATTAACATTGTGGCTAACAAAAGTTTGAATCATAGTTTTAGTTTAAAAAAAATTAATTAGTTTCGTTGCCATTTTATACTCGTTTATCCCTAAACGACATGAGTCGGTTTTTATTTTAGAGAAAGCCTTAAAATTTAAATGAATATATCCAATGTACAGACAATTTGGGAAGAATTTTTCTTCGCCATACTTTCGAGGATGTCTGCGGGGGTATCAGAAATTTTGTGTTGTATCAAAGTGCCACGCCTTTGCTTAACGACCGCAATTTTTTATGGTCGTTTAACACTCATTCTTTCATTTCTGTACATAAATAATAACCTCGGTCCATTATTTTTCTCCTTGTGTTTTCCTAAAACTCAACCACTTCACACAAAATCTTTACTTTTTCTATTTCTCCTTTGTAATGCCCGAAGAAAGTTGCTTTTAAATTTCTTTAAAAAATATTGAAGAAGCCACCGTTTCGTCAAGGCACCATATTGCATTCGATCGGAAAGCGGACTGTTTAAGGTACATAGAGTTTTTAATCATCTATAAAATCGTTTCGAATGTCATATTTAAACCTACAAGACAGGCAGTTTGTACGCTTATACATCTAGTGGTCCTACGACTGACGTTGCCGTTTGGAGTCTGCTAATAAGTTGTACACTTGAAGTGATTGTACTTTTGAAAACACAAGAAGTTGTGGGATTATTAGATAACTTTAAGAATAATTTCTGTTTAAAAATTGCTATTTTAATTTTTCCTTTCAGTCACGTGGTTGCTCATTTTGAGAAACCAGTACAGTGGTTTTTGGTAAATTTGGAAAGGCCTATACACTGATATTTGGTAATTTTGAGAGATCTTTGAGCTCAATTTTTTGCCATCCCAGCATTAACATTATGCAACAGGCGTTTTTAGTAACAACAAAAATTAAAATTTTGAGGGAGAATTTTTCTGAGTTTTTGTTACCTTTTATTAAAAAATATATGCTTATTGCTCTTTTTCAGACTTGAGTGCATTTATTTTGTTCATTTTGAGAATAGCGCGGATTGATTGATCTTTTTGAGCTAACTGCATATTGATTTTTGGTAATTTTGAGATACCGTTGACCTTAATTTTTTGCCATTTCAGTATTAACATCATTTTAAAAACAGTTCTGCGATTAACATAAGATGGAGGGAAAAATGAAATAATTTAAATTCATTAAAAACAAGAAAAATAATAATAAAAAATATTTGTGATGAGAATGAGAGCGGTTTACCGTTTTAAGGTCGTCAATGGTCCAAAAGGTCAAACTGGTCGTAAACTTTAAAAAATGTCCTAGTAAAATAGATACAAATGTATTAATATTTGTTATCGCGTTCTTCTTTCTTGTGTCGGGGATATATTCCACGGCTATTCTTAATTAACTCAGAATCTTTTTTTTCTGATGTGTATATATATATACAAATATATGTATATAAGGCCTTAGAGTAGCCATAATATTTCCTTCAAATGTGCTTTAAACCCTGTTAAAAATTTCTCATATCGAAGATACATATATCAATAATCATAAGTTAATTAGAAGAGTGATAGAAAAAACTTACGTCAATCATTATCCAGTGGCTGTTGCACATTAGCCCAAGCGAGATCTAATTCAATAAGACTATGAGCCCATTTTGAAGCGATAAGTTCCAAGCCAGAACTGAAATATAAATAAAATTAAATTAAAAGCAAATAAATTACATGCATTACTAACCCGGTATCGCGTGTTACTGAGCAACCAGATGAGGAAAAATGTTTAATATCCTACGCGGGTAAACGTATGAGGCTCTCATGCGTCAAGCGTATTCAAAAGTTTTAATTTCGAACTTGATTTCAAAATACATTGCAAATCCTTGTCGCCTATAACACTTGATCCTGTTAAGACGGCCATCAATAGCTCTGTTCAATTGGAAGATTTCAATTAGAATTTTTTCACATAAGTTCTTTTAACATATGCCCTATGTGAATTGATCACGAAAGATCGTGCAAAAACTTGATAATGAATTCATGTTCCCAAGTAGATCGTCTTCGCTCATAAAGTCATATCTGTCTGATACGAGACAATTTGTGCTTTTTAAAGGTCGACACTCGCATTTACGGCAGGTGAAATCTGGAATAGTTTAAGTCTTAGATATGGTATTGTATGGAAATATGTTTGTGTACGGTAACTAATAATGTTCAAAAAGTTAAGCTGCTGGCGAGTAAGATCGTTTAGGTGTGATCGCCTAAAACTAATAATGAGAATAGTAAATCGTCCTCTCCCCTGGCTGTGCGAGTGTGAACGCTGGTCGCCAAACTGGGCACGTCGCACAAGCTGCTCATACAAGTGTGGTTAACCCTTCTATATTTTCCCCAACTCAAAACTCCCCATCCGTGACACCTATTGCTCCTAGTACAGATGACATTTGCTTGAAGACAGTTCCTCCCAGAAAGGCAATATTTGTGTCAAGACTGGCATCTGATACATCCGTGGATAATACACAAAGTTATCTGGCGGCGAAAGTCCCATCTGCCTATTTAAAGGGTTTGACCATTTTCAAATTGATTCTTTCTCAACCTATTCAATTGAATTTCCCGCTACACTCGACGTTCAATTTATCGCCATTTGAGCGAAACTTCCTAATAAATACTTATATGTGACGTGCTCCTATATTCCCCAAAATTCGGATATCTCTATATGTAAGAAACAGGCCGCCCTAAACCTATCGATATAGTCCTTGCATTAGGTGGCTTCAATTTGCCTTAAGTCACTTGGTGTTACAGTGATAGTTCTGGCGGTTTGATTCCTACTTCAACACCTGATAGAGCTGTTGTGTTCTTTAATGAATTATTCGACCATTATTTAGTTCAATACAACAGCATTCCTAGACTGCTTGATTTTTGCTTTGCCAATTTTCCTGAGATCTGTCTTAATCGTTGTCTTCCTTTTAGTTTACCTGAGGATCCTCATCATCCAGCATTACGTATTTCCTTTCATTACGAGAATAATGGTCCATTGAACTTCTGTAACGTTCCAAATTCAACTTTTTCAAATAGATTTGATGATTTCCATAAAATCAATGTTTTATTGCTAAAATCACTGCGTTCACATATTTTGCTTGATTTCTCAGTTGGAAGTATTGATAGTTTACTGTTTTTCGTTCTACAGTATATTAAATCAAGCTATTTCTGCGTCCGTTCCGACCAAGCCGTCTCGTACTCGAAGCAGGTGTCCCCGTGGTTTAATGAGATAACCAAATATTACAAGAATAGGAAAAACAAGCTCTTTATAAATTTTCGAAAAGTAGTTTTTCTTTCGACTATTTCGCTGAGGTAAGCTTGGCTCTAATGAATTTTCCGTCGGCTATAGAGGACGTCACCAAGTTGAAACCCTTGAAGATTTTACCAAAATGGATTGTGGTGATATAGTGGCTGTACTAGAATGCAAGGAATATATCAAGTGAGGAGTAAATCACATTAGTTTTAAAAAATAGTAAGAGAGAAAAAAGAGAAAAAAATCACAAACATCATGAACTAAATATATAACAGGTTTCGCGACGATGATGTGTGAGTGTGTATGTGTGTCTGCGTAAGAATGGTACCATAGACAATGATGTAACGGACCAATAGATACGTAGGTGTAGACTAACGAACAAAGGAATAATACTAACGGACTAAGAAACTGTTAGATAAGATACGCTGTTATAAATTTTCTCTTATTGTGTTGTGAATGCCTTAACCTTAACATTTATGCATTATTATAGCCTCCACCGGAGACTCGAAGTTTTTTTACAACTTGCAAAGCATTAAACGATAACATACATACACATAAGTAATGGACATAGTGTCATCGAGTTTGTCTTATCCATCAGTCTGCTGAAGTGCAAAAATCTTGCAGGCAATTTTTTCTTGTGAATCTCATTCAAAAATTTTCGTTCGATTATTAAAAACCAGATAGACTTTGACGTGGAGCTGAAAAATTGTAAAACTTTTAATTTAGGTTTCTTCAATAAAATTTATTTTTTTTTTAAATCTTAGTCAACTTTAAAAATAGGCTAAATCAGATCAAAAGTTATCTCACAATATCTAGCTTTTTAGTCTGCGGTATTATTAAGAAAATAGTGTCTACTCATACGAAAAGTGGAATGTAAACGATATATGATATGTACGATTCATTGATGATTTCATGTGGACTAATCTTCACTGGCAAATGACTTTCGTACTGCAATGCAAAAGATGAACTTTAATAGGTCATAAATTCCTTTGGCATACGCTTACAGATATTCTTGATATGATTGTGAGGCATCAATTTCGCCATTTCATTTTATGCCGAGGATTTAATTCGTTGTGTCCAGGATCCCGGCAAGAAGTTTTTACTTTAAATTTATTAGATTTAATCGCAATAATGCATAGTATGGCATAATGGTTTGGGCGAACTTAGTAAGATTCGAGAGATATAAAGGCCACACGGGCGTCTTAATTCACAGATGGACAAGGTAAATTTGGAATATAAATTTGATGTCGAGAACTAAGCACGGACGTTTGAGTGTGATTGTTGCTCTTCTAGGAAGAAGGGAGAAAAAGGCAAGCAGTCTGTCCGTGAACTCAGACAAAGCGTAACTCACCTGAGTTGTGCTTTTTGCAGGGTTGACGACGTCAATCTTACAATCTCCCAATTAGAAAACAGGTGTTTTCTGATCGGGTTGGCTCCACCGTCGACCGTTGCGTCACCTTAAAATGATTATTTTGCCTTAAGTTGACATAGCCGCGGATTCCCCTCACCGGGACGGAATCTATGTGAGGTCAGCAGTATTATCTAACGAAAGATTGTAAAGTAAAGACACAGATAAAATCTTGTAAGAGGACCTTGGATTCCGACGAGTTACCCCGGATTATAAGGGCAAAAAGGCTTCACAAATTTCAGTCATTTATTAAAGAAAAGACAATAATTTTCCACTGCAAATCGTATCCCTATATTACGTTGCTTTATTGGTTTCGCTACGTTCGTTACAAATACGTTTGATGGAAAAACTTGTTTTCAATCGAGCGTGCCTTGTAAAGTGATTTGTCAACGTCAATGAAATGTTGAAACTTAAAAAAAAATTTTTTAAATTTTATATACAATGCTGGAGATTGAAGGAAATAACCTAACCGCGACAAAAACTGTCATTGTAGCCGGAGCTGGTATAGGTTTGCTTGTCGTTCTCATTAAACGATTGCTGAGTTATTTAAAACCGAATAGAGAAGATAGAACGTCCGATAAAATAGTAAACACTTTGAAAAGGTTAAGAAATTTTATCTAATTAGAATGATTTCTCAAGCTCGTTTTGCTCTATTAGCCATTGCTCGGATTATGTTGTTTTAGGCTTTGACTGTCAGTGGATTACTGGGAATAATGGCCATAAGCTTGTGGCTTTATTGCAATTGGCTACCGTAAAGGGATTTTGCGCTGTATTTCGTTTACCCTACATGCAGCCAATACCTCACAGTTTGAAAAATCTCTTAAAAGATAAAAACATAATAAAAGTTGGTGTAGACTGCGTGCAAAAAGCTCAACAACTAACTCAGACTTATGGCATCAAGGTAGCCAGTTCTTTAGACCTACGTTATCTGGCAGCTATGGTTCGATACCAACCGGATGATTTGGAAAAATTGTTAATTTCTGTGCTAAATGTCGAACTAAAGGCAATGCGTTCATTTCGCTCCGATTGCAAAGAGAAACAGCTGCTTGGTGAACAAATTGAACTCGCTGCTAACAATGCGTTGGCAGCGGTAGAGATTTTCAAAAATTTAATTCAAAAACTACAAGCCAAGTAATCTGTAGAGAAATTCTTTTTTTTTTATAATGGAATTCATCCTCTTTATTCGTTTTAGGACATCGATGCATTTCACAAAAGCAGACTTAAGTGAAATGAAACCTAAAATTGGGCATTATTTTGGGCTACACTTCCGCAATGACCTTGTGCCATGTCCTTCTAGAAGGTACGTAGCTCCTTTTGAAGGTTGCTTACTTGAAGCACCGGAAGACGGTGAAACCTTGTGTTCCGTGAATGAACCAAAAGCTAATTGGTATTTGCAAGAACAGCTAGGAGTGAAAATAACATCTGTACCGTTTACAATACGCTTAAATTTTAAGCCACCATTAGGTTTTTATCATATAGAAAAGAACGAATGTGTAATCTGTGGACACTCGGATGCATTTATACATAAAAATATTGTGCCGACGGAATATAGGGTGCATTTTCCAAGTAATGACTTGCGAAGCTATCGAAATTTTTTTAAACTTTTAAATGCTTATCATACCGTTTACAGTCGTGACACAATTTCATACCTCGAACGATATACTAACCTTGTGCCCTAAATGCGATCAGTTGAATAGTGCGGTCGATTTAATAATTCAGCAAGAATTGAGTGAAATCTGCGATGCCCCCTACAGTTACGAGCAAGTAACTAAGACATCTCTAATACCATTCTATTAATTCTAATTTTTAATGTTATTTAAATTTTCAGCTTAAAAAAGTGAAGATAACTGCGCGGAAGCTAATACATAATGCTGGCGAAATGTCAACGGAAAGGCGTAAATCCTTGGAGGCCCTTGTGTTGGCTTACTTTAAAGACCAGAAAAATCTTACTTTGTATATGCTAATAGAAGCTTCCGAGCTAAATCTACGCGTTCAAGATTGTTACGAACACGGTAAGAGGGTGGTACAGAAATTTCGCTCATATTATGGCGGTTTAAAGGAATTGGAAATATTATGGAGGGATCATTTTCTTACTAGAATGCATCCCAAATATTTACCACCATTTTGGTTTTGGGATATAGGTGACGTAATAAAAAATCGCAATATTAAAAAAAGAATATTTTAGATAAACATTTTCCTTTTTTTTACATATATCGGTAGATTGGAAATATGAGCCTCGTATAATAGAGATTTATTGATGGCTAGCGCTGTCGTAAGCATAGATACATAATAATAAATAAACAATTTGCATTAATTATAATTTTCTTAAATACTTATATTTACAATAAATATTTTATAACTTTTTAATTTTTTCGTTTTTGTTTTTTATTATTACGTAGATCTTTTATAATTTGAGATAAATTAAATCGTTTTAGTCCAGCAACGTCCACTATTGCATATCCCACAGCACCCCGCTTACTACACCAGTCAAAAGCGAATAGAATCCTATTATCGGGCAAAATGGACATCAAAATTTATAATTCTCATGAAAGCCCTCACATTGGAGGGTAGAATCTTAGACTAAAAGAAAAAGACATTGGGTACTAGCAACACAATCTATCGGTTCCAATTTATAAAAGTACATTAGACATTGAGCCTAGCAGTTTTAATATAGTAATATATTGTGTTGATATTCTGTTCTGTAGTTGATTGTAGATTGTCCATAGGCTTAGTTGCTCCAAATGCAATACTTCTAGCCAAGGGAAAGTTAAGGCAGTCACAGAGAAGTCGAAGAATTCCGTATAGCTTTTGATACAGACACACTGTCAGTAACAATGACGGTTTTCAGTTCGTCGGAAAGGTTCGCAGCTTGAAGGAAAGCTCTGGCTTCGATTGTGAAAGCACTTTCGTAAAATATTTGATTGTGAAGAACCTGCCCTGAAGCATGTAAAAACAGGAAAGAAGTCAGATGAAACTCTTATTACATGTAAAGCGATTTAGATCTAATCTAATTACACCTCTGACAAGGAAAAGAACTGAAAGCACAGTTGATGTTTTTAAATATGCAAGCACGTGCAAGTAAGTACAAATAAAGATAAAAATGAAAAAGGAAATCTATGAAGGAAAGCAAGTCGATCAATAACTAGCTAATGCGAAGGTTCATATTAATAGTTACAGTTTGGAAAAACGCTCGAGCGCTCTTCAATCATATTTACATATATAAAGATGTAATGTTTCATACACTTAAGCTAAGGCGAAGGCACCAAAGAAATTAAGGAAGAGATGCTAACGTTTACGTAGCTCCAATCACAATTATCTGGAGAAGCTTGTCTATGCGGATTTTATGATGACATTCCTTCTTTTATTTGCTCTAATCGTAGGAGACACCGGTAGCGAGTTTGGCTTAGCTTGAAATTCAAATTATTATTGTGGCATATACTTTCAAATAGATGAGACTTGAATGCTCCCTCTTCCCCTACGCAATTGGACTATCTTCGGAGCTTAACTTTGGCGATTTTGATAAATCTAACGAAACGCAAATTGCGCGGCCCTTTTGAGTGTTACATTGTCTCCTTTATCCACATATAAGGAATTGCGATAATATCTATGTAAGCCCAAATGATTTCAACCTGACGATTTAAAAAATAAATGTAAAAAATTTCTATTCGTAGCTTAATCACTACAAAATCTTAATTTCGATCAATATTGGTTGGTCGATTGCAGACACCAGACCTTTAGATATTTCTGGATAGTATTTTAAATAAATCTTAAATCAATGCCTGCCACACTTAAAATTTTTTTACCATTATTTTCAAGTTGTTTTCTTTTGTTTTAAAGTCGTATGTTTTTCTGTATAAGTTTTCAGTAATTATAAGCGTATTTCTAAACGAATCTCTTCTGTTCTCAGCTATAGATCGTAAGTCAAGGATTAATTTGTTATTAAATTTATTTAAAACGTACTTGTTACAAAAATTGACAATTAAAATACGCATCACAATTATCTGTTGTCGAATGCCATTGCAGTAGAAATTTTGTGGTTTCAGGCGAAATAGCCATCGACTCATTTTCTTACATTTTTAATACTGGGGAGCCGCTTACCTGCTAACCGCGACATATCAGCCTGAATCAGATGTATTTAGAAGGACAGTATTCGCAATGAAGAGATGTTACCAGATCAAGTTGAGCATCGCTTTTTTGGAGACTGATAGACAAACACGAATTTTAATCGCCTTCAAGACTAAAATTCTTAGGCCGAAACGTTGTAAACCTCTTTTTAACCGTTTTATAGCTTCTTGTGCTTTCGCTTCAAGCCGCAACATTTTTTCTAGATTAATACGGTTAGGAACAGAAAAAACGGCCCGCTGTAAACGAAATATTGATAGACTTTGATATGCACTGAATGACAGGACACAATTTATTAATATGTCAAATATTTTAAATTTTCGTAACCCAAATATTCTCGCGGACAAAAGGAAGTAGTTTAAAAGACGTAAAACCGCAATTTAGGTGAGAATGTGTGCTTTTATACAAGTCTGATTGAAACTAAATGAAGTACTTTACTTGTACATAGGGACTGCTAAGTGTACCTATAATCCAATTATATTATATAAACTATAATCTCTGCCTACGAAAAGAGCTTGGCAAAAATTCCGAAATTACGAATTGTTAACCACTGTTACTCTGCTAGTGATGGAAATAAGTTGAAACAGGAGACTGTTAAAGGTAATCGAAGTTTGAATGAATCTGAGCTTACCTCTCGTACAATAACAATTGCAAAAATTATTATCATCTTCCCATTTAAAGAAGATTGATTGCCTTTACGAAAATAGCACGGTTGCAAAAATATATTTACGGTAACGCATACGTGCGAACAAACAACGATCAGAGTTTCCTCTTAAACAATTCGTGATTTCCAAGTTAATGTTAGTTCTATTTATTTCGTTATACTCAAAGAGACAGTCGTCACAGCAATTTTTCAGGACTAATTTTAAATATGTATATATATGTAAATAGTGTATATAAAAATAAACTAACATATATATATCCGCCTGAGTAGGCGAAGGCGAGGAATCTCGACTAGCAAGTCAATGGTCGTGGTTTCGAATCTCAAGTGCGGTAGAGTTTTTAATAAAAGCCGATAGCCTTAGATGCTAGTGCTTTTAAGAGTTTAGTCTTAGAATTTATTTCTCTGGCGAAATTAATAATAATAATAATAATAAACTAACATAGGTAGGTACAAACCAAGCAACACAATTAAAAGGAAACATTTTTAGTTTAGAATTAAATCTCGACCACATGGCCTCCGAAAAAATAATGCAAAATTATATAAGAACCAAAAATCAAACTTATTCGAGTTTGGATGATGTAGCGGCTCTTCGTAATTAAGTCTCATTCAGGTTACACTATTTCAGTTTTCAGCCTTTGTCACTGTAGAGCCAAACGAACAATTCGACTTGGATGCCTTCACTTGTAGGCATTCTGGGTACAAGCAAGTCCATACCTGAATACGCCGTAGCTGATAAAAATGGTAACTTATTCGAAATATGTGATGATTTGCTTACTTGAAAGTGCTATAGACATAAGCGATCATAGCGAAGGCTGTTGCTGGATTTTCACTAAAGAAAAGCAAGTAAGAAGATTACTTTCGACTACCCACAACATAAGCGCTTTGTCCACTTAAGATTTTAATGTCCAAAAAATCGGTTTTTTCTAAACACGCCAAACCTGTATGTACTAAACCTGCAGATCTTTTCATTTGATACTTATGTCGAAGGTATTTTAAAAAAAAACATTTATCCACTAAGCCGAGATCTCTACCATAATTAATTTAGAATTAAGACACTTAGCTAGCTTCTCGCATTCTGGTTTCTAAGTCCTTCTACGTGCTATTAACAGTATTGTAATGAAAAAATCAATTCATTATGTCGTGACGTCTGTCACAATTAACTGGGAACTAACATACTTAGCTGTTCGCATTCTACAATCCAAGTTGTTTTATTTGATACCCATAACGTCGGTATTATTAAGAAAAAATCGATTCACCACGTCACGGTATCTGTCATATTGATTTTAGAATTAATCCATTTTTAAGCAGATAATGCGCATTCATTTGAGGAATGTACAAAATAGTTTTAAACATTCTGTCTTGAAAAAAATAAAATTAAATCTTCTATAACTTTGTACGTAAAGAGTCGAGTGTTTCGTAAAGTATATGTGGAAAATTATAGACTTCTAATTTTTATAATTTCTGAGTAACGAGCAAAACGCACAACTTGTTGTTAAGAAAAATGGAGTTGGGTTCAGTTTGCGCTCTACTACGGGCTACTGCTTTGACTAATTTGGTCCATTCGTAATGATCAATATAATAAACACATATCACACAGACAGACAGACATGGCTAGATCAACTCAGGATTTCACGCTAACTGAGAATGTATATACTTTCTAGGGAGTTGCGTGCACTATGAAAAAAACTAAAATGACTATACCCCCATCTTACAGTGGTGGGTATAAAAAGAATGTCTTGTACGTACGGTCATCTTTGTTAACTATACAAAAGCTGAACAGTATTCTTCAAGATTTTTCGAAACTAAATTATAAAAGATCATTCTTGGTTAATCGGGTACTAGTAATAGACGCTGGTACATAAGTTTTATAATGTTCTGCCTAGAATGAAAAAATTACGAATAATTTTGACGAAATAATAACTATACACATATAAATAATTTATTTGGTTTTATTAAATTTGATTGTATTAATAATGGCTTTTCATGATTGGATGCTAATATATTGCATTCGATGTTTTTAAAATTGTGCACAGAACTAAAAAATATTAAAGTATGCCTGGGATCAAGGTTAAGAATACGTTTAATTGTATTGGCAGATAATATTATCAATTCATATATGAGCCGTTCAATTCGATGACTTTCTGCTATTTTTCCGGTAACATTACGTTCACGCCGTTATCAAATTTTGGTGGTCTTTGATCGAAAAAGTGTACCACATGGTTTTCACAGGACCCTTTTGAAACTAAATTGGCATATACGCGGGGTAAATGAAAACTTTCCAACCAAGATCTTCCAATTTATGGATGTATGCGGATGTCTGCTGTTGTCAGCTTGATATGCAGCTGCCATCCTGTTGGCAAGGTCAGGACGTTTCTCAATCACTAGATACAGCCGCCCTAGTTGTTGGGGATAAAGGTAAAAGTGAATTATGCTACCTGTTGGCAGCACTTCGTTGTGCACAATGCATGAAAACTACGTTAAGCGTATGCTTAATGTTGTAAATTGTGCTTTCCAAGATTTTATTGCAACACTTTACCATCCCAGCTGCGGTCACAGTCTCCACTGTCACGTTGACATCGGTATTAGTTTGTGCTAAAATGCTAGCACAGTTAGCTCTCATACTATTCATATTCTTGGTGTCGACTGGCGAATGGCTCACAAATAATATTAAAGTTATTTGGACATATTTCCACAATTCAGATTAGTTTTTGTATCCTCTAGCGCATGTTGTGCAAGGGTATATTAAGTTTGTGAGAATGTATGTAACTCCATGAAGTACTTGAGATAGGTCTGCCTTTTATTATACCAATCGATTTAGAATCACTTTCTCAATCGATTCAAGTAGTTTATGTTAAGAAAACTGAAGACTTTATATCTTGAAAGCAATATATTAAATGAACTAAGGTTATTTTAAACATAATTTTAGAGATAAACAGCTAAATTTAAAGAGAGGGCTATGTATTCAATGAATGTTTATTTACCCAAATCGTTCAAATGTATACTTGGCCATGCTCTCCTAATGTCCCCGATCCTATATGGCTTAGGATTGTTAACTCTAAAGCGCGCTACGTCAAGTTTTTCCTTATATGTACCTTTAAGCAACTTATTTTACTGTCGTAACCTACTGCTCTTTTTTTAAGGTTATCAAATATTGTAACGTGACTGCATACCGTTGCAGATGCGTGTCCACTTGAAGTGTGTCATAAATCAAAATAGTGAGCAAAACTTATCAACAAAATAAAACAACAAAGTATGACACACTTCAAAACGCTTCGAATTTATGATGTATCAAAATCACCAAACCTACACTAGTAAATATGGCTGTCCGCAATCTGGTATATGATATATATGTGAGAATGATAAAAAATCACTTAAAACTTTTTATTTATTTATTTTTTATTAATTACCTTTTAGCCAAAGGCCAATGTGGGAATGATAAAAAATCAATTGAAATTTTTTATTTATTTATTTTTTATTAATTACCTTTTGGCCGAAGGCACGCAGGGTCGCGGATATTGGAAAGACGTTGACACAGTGACCGAACATGCTCACACCATACTCTTGTTAATTCTGCTACACCTCCGAGCTTAGTAAGAAATTCTTGAACAACACCGCGGTCTGGAGTAACTTCCTGAGAACGAGGCATGTTTAGCTTTGACACATGTTCTAGGATGTAGCGGTCAATTTTTACTCCACTATTATCGCCATCATTATAATAATCCCATACAATAGTCTCACATCGGTGACGCTCCTCATCTGATATCAAATCCCGTAAACGCAATAAAGTTCCCGCACATATCTTGACTTGCAAACGCTAAAGGAAACATTTAAGTGTAAATGAGAGGGTATAAGGAGCGGAACATATCCTTCACAGTTTGCGGTACATTTTTAAATCATGTATCTCACTTAAACAGACCCACTTAGGACATAAGAATATCATATCACGATAAGTAAAAAGTTGATATTTCAATATTATAACGTATCAAATTTTAATTGTTTTTTCAACACCTTTATAACGCGCAGCAACAAACTTTAAAAACCCCGTAACGTATATAAGCTTTTGGCCAGTTTCACATTTAGAATGCCCTTAAACAAGTCCTTCTGTTCATATGTCTGCCTGCACAACTATATAGTATTTGTGGCAATCATTCTCCCATTAGCGAAAATGAAGATATCGCCTACAAATTTGCAAAAGAATTTGAAAGTGACGCAAACTTTTCAAACAACATTTCTGTAACGCTCGCGCGCGCCTACGCGACAACAACTTTTATTTCGAAAATACACAACGCTGACGCGCCCACTCTTTATTGTATAGTATGAAAATTTAGTTCTTTTACTTCTTTTGTCCTTTTTAAGACAACAATGATGGGCAGAAAAGATTCGGTCTTATAAATTTTTTACATATTCCCCTTAGCGAAGGTCTGCTCCATATTGGAAAGCGAGTCACTAGAAGCACCGAATTGGAATCTGCAAATCAAATCAGTTGCGGGAGTAGCGCTTCCATTCTTATTCCCAAATGGGTATCTTTCTGTCGTTACCACAAAAAGTTCCATTTGATGATGAAATAAGGTAAATTTGCACCCTATTTATTGCCTAAACTCACGGTTTGAAAACAAATTTTTGAAATGGTCCAAGACTTTGATTTTTAAATGCTAAGTGCTCAGTTAAATGAAACATTTATAAAATTAGTGCAATAAGTAAAGAAATTCTTAATTTCTCTTTTGTTATCCGCTTTAGCAGCCCAGTAGGCAAAGGATGTCGACGAGGAACTCATTGATCATGGGTTCAAATTTTAAGTGCGGTAGCGTTTTCAATAAAACTGGTTGCCTTAGATGCTAGTGCTTTAAGACGTTTAAGTCTTAGAATATGTAGCTCTTGTTCAATAAACAATAATAATTTTATATTTTTATATATATTTACCGAATTGAACTTTGTAGGGATATATAAAATGCGTTTCAATTTAAAGGCAATATTTGTACATCTTACACCAGCGGCAGCTGTAGCATTCTGTGAGGGATTTTTCCAGTGCCTCGTCCCCCGAATTTCCGAACACCGTAAATGAAATTTGTAGATTTCAGGATTGGTTGATGAATCTAGATCTTTACCGGATGAACAGAAACCGATCTATAGGCGCGATTTTAGTTGCGGTCACACTTTAATCTCTAGGAATAAAACTCAAGCACATATAGTTCTGCTAATATAATCAAAATTAGGAAGTGTTCATTTCTATTTACGGATTTGCTTGTCGAATAAACTACTTTGTCTCGGTGATTTATTTGGCACGATCTAGTAGTAAAGCATCTCAAGCATTTGTCGGAGTTATTCAAGGCAATTGAAGGAATATACGTGCAAAAAATCCGTGTTGGCTGTATAGTCAAGGAGCAATTATTAAACAAGAGGCAAAACTAGACAACACTTTTTGACACGCCGACTATCCATGTATAAAGAGGGAAACCAACGCTAGGGGGCAGTTAAAAATTACCTTCTAAGGCTGAAATCAACTACATTTTGTTGTTTAATTTTTTAACTCTTATTATCCAGCTTAGCCTTAGTCAACCCAGACTCGAAATGAAGATCGATTTTGAGTCCATACAATTTACATTACTTCGGAAATTTATTATTTATGGTTAGAATATTGTCATGAAAATGACACACCTGATCGCATAAATCTGCATGAGTGCAATTAAAAACTAAATTTTGTACGCGTTCTGCCCAACTCGGTCGTCTTACACTTTAAAAGAATATTCAGTTAAAAACCAAGTAGCAAGATTTTTATGCTTGGATTAAAGCTTGGACTTGCTATAATGGCTCAGCTCCCAAAATAGAACTTATGGTCCATATTTATTACACGTAAAATGTTAAAAATTAAACACTTTAAAGCTTTTTTGACGGCAGATTGGTTATATCTGGCCTAACTGATCGAAGCTTCTCATAACAGCATAGTGAAACAAAATTACCCGGCGGATTTTGTTGAGAAACATTAAAATTTGAAAATTTTTTTTTATGATAAATTTCTCAAAATAAGCCGTTATACTGATCGTAACATCGTAAACATTTTTTGATCTAATCTATCTTTGGCAGATTAGATTCATTGATCCTTTCTCCAAAGTGTAACATATTTTGTCAAAACATCTCAAGAATTGCCAACATAATTGTGGGCGGACATTAGTGGAATAGACAAATTTAAATCGATGCAGAAAGTGAATCTGAGTTTCTGAGTATATATATCACAAGTCGTATAGAGTATACAAAAATTCTTGCCAAACGGAGTTTACATGTGACTTCATATTGTATTGTTTGTATGCCTATTTATATTCTTTGTTTTATTCCAAACTGGAATCAGTTATCAAGAGGAAAACGCTTGGACACTCTATCAAAAGAAAGGAGCATCTCTTTCGTAAATTTAACATAAAAAAAGAGTTAAACATGTTTGAGTTCAACTTCAATTTTTTACCGGCTGAATAGGCGGGCAGCGTTGAAGAACCGCTTCATCAGGGTTAGTAATGTTTAATATTCTTGCGATCAGTTACATATATTATAAAATTAATTATAGTGAACTTACGGTAAATGATAAAAATTCCTTTTTAGTTTATAAAAAGATTTTTAAAGAGATTTCTTAAATAGACCGTCCATTCAGCTGTATACTTTAGAATTTTCCGGTAAACTTATTGTCAAGATACAAATAAAATCGGGCTCTCAGGTGGTTGTTTTTCTACGAGAAAATCATATTAGGTAGTTTCAACATTGAACTCACTGGTAAAAACCTTTCCTTGTACAATTTGACAATGCCTTCAATGCTAATACGTTTGTACAGTCAGACTTATGTCGTTAGACCGTTCATTGCAGACAGCTTCATATAATCAATTTTATTCCTACTGATATCTCAAGAATTTTATTCTTGACAATCGTGTAGAGAGATTAATAAGCAAAAGCTTAATTCGTTTGTTTTCCTCTTTCTATGGACCCACCGGAATACCGGAATACAATCATTTTAATCCCTGTAACTGAAAATGGAGGTTTACTTTTATTCTCTTTTCTTTTTCGTGTGGAATGTGACAGATTAGGAGAAAGAGTTATCGCTCTACGCGCTCTAACCAATGCATTAAATGTGATCGATCTGGCGATCCCTAAAACAACTGCATACTCATATACATTCTCTATGGTAATCATAGTCATGTTAGCAAGCAAAAAGACAAATGGTTTAAGTGCAAAGACGGCTTTCAAGGCAAGAGCCGCTATCGATTAACTCTATAAATAACCGCAACAAATTAATATTCGGATAAAGAATAAAGCAATTTTCTGTTATCAAACAAATTTAGTCAGGCACCAACACTTAAACAATCATTTCACTTCAGACATTCCCAACCTTTGTTCTCTATTCCATACTCAATTAATAAAGATCATCTCACTCGCTACCTATAAATTACATAATCGAATTTGAAAACCTCACTAAAAACTTCGCGTCTCGCTTCGGCAAGAGAAAAATCAACCGACAATAAGATTTTTCAAAGACGTCAATTTTTTTTTTTTATCCCGTGCAGAGACCCCGTTGTTTTAACTCTCCTAAAAGAAAAGTCTACCCTGAACTCTAACTTCAAGGTCCTCACTAACGGCGAGGGCATTTTTCTTAGCTAACACGATTCAACGAGAAATTCATTGCTTAACCTGAGTTTAACCAAATCAAACGGTCGCACTATGTATGACGTTCCAAACATGTTTCTTCGTGGCTCGTCGAATAAACCAATAATTTTAGAAATCCAATCTATTAAAGTTTTTACGCTCAATTAACAATGGAACGACTAGGAATACTCACGTAATTGGATTCTTACCGATTATTCCTAAACTTTGATGGAATTACAATTAAGCAAGACTTTTTCGTCCTCCTAACCTTACAAGGTAAGACCAACCGCGAACTGTTTGTTTGAAAATCCCGCAAATAGAAAGAGGCTGTCAAGTCAGCAAAATCTAACATCTTTCGAAAAAGAATAACAGAATTTAATGCACTACGTAATAATAGGCGAATATGACGATTTGTCAGAACAATTAAAAATGTTCATAGAATTCCCCTGGGAGTGCCATAAAGTAAAAAAGCACAACTATTTTAACGTAAGTAACTGATACGATGATGAAAAAAAAGAAAATAAAACTGAAAGTAAGGGTGAGGTCCATCAAAAAGCTATTGTATGAAAGAACACGTAAATAACCCGAAATTCATGAGTAAAAGAGACGACTAAACCAAAGAGAAAAGAAATAAATGAAAGAAGAATGCATAGGCAATAACTCAATGTTCATGTTGACGATTATGCAACGGTTGCAAAGATGGGCGGAAGAGCTCTTTAATTACATTAGGGTATTTAGATGCGTAAGCTTGTATGTACTAAAGGTCATAAAGTTCGTGTAAGGACAACAAAAAAATTAAGACAGAGGTATATCGTTTTTATACCCACCACTGTAAGATTGGGGTATAGTCACTTTTTTTTTCCAGAATGTATGTAATACCCAAAAGGTAAAAATAAAGTTACGAGAAAAAAGATATAGACTTTGAAGTAGTAGTTAGTAGACACAGTAGTAGTGCTAAAGTTTTTGCACGATTGACTTGAAACTTTAGGTAAATAATCTTTGTTAAAAAAAAAGGAGTTGCGTTCAGTTTACGTTCCACAGCGGGGTTTTGCTTTGACCAATTTGGCCCGTTTTCAATACCAACCTGCCTACAGAAACTTCCAATGTTTCTAGCAAATTTGAGGTCGATCTCTTAATTTTTGCGATCAGGAGAATGCCAAAAACACATACAACGCAGACAATAAGACGAACAGACCGAGAAATGAACTCAGAATTTCACGCTGATCAAGAATACGTATATTATATAGCTTCCTTTTTGGACTGACATACATTATGGGATAAAACAAAATGAGTATATCTTCTTACAGTGCCGGGTATAAAAAATTTGAGAAAATATGATGTTTTACTTTTCTTCTAAACTGCATCACCGCATAGGCAAGTCTACAATCATTTAAATTTATGGCTTTGAAAGCACACTATTATAGCTTCGCTCTTCCACTTTTCATTGCAAATTAGTTTCATCAAAAGAAGAGTTCGAAGAGGTTCACGAAAAAACGATGGGATAAGAAGAGATCCTTGTACTTTTTAAATTTGCTATAAATACTAACATGATTCGAATCTATATAACAAAAGAATAGGTGTTCGCTATTCTCTTTTTACACGATAGACACGCTCCCAAAATATTCGCCTAAAAAAAGATATTGATAGTGGATTGATTGCAGACTTAAAGAGACAACTGAAAAGTACAATAAACAATGTTAAGAAATTCTTGTTAGAGTTTACTCAAGAGTTTACTTCGCGCTTACACATTTTAATTTATTAAATGTATTATAAGAATTAGATTCTACGTTGAAAAACCAAACTAAATTTCACTACGTCTTTACTCCACGTATAACTCGGGGAATCCCACTCAAATACGCGTATAATCGACATAGTCTTAGTTGTGCAAAATATAACGCGTACTGTAGATACGCGTACTGTAGATACGCGTTATATTTTGAGGAGTGGAAATGAAATATCAAAAAAAGTAAAAAGAATTCATCAGTAAAATTCGTTAAAAAAATTCCTAGAATATTAAAATTTCGTATAAAAACAATTCGTGTAAAAAGAGAATCTTTTTCTTATTAACTAGTGTTAAATCATATTTCGCGTAAAATCAATTCCTGTAAAAGGAGTATTAGATGTAATGTCCATCCATTATGTTCTTTCTTTTATATGCATACTATCAGTTCAGTTGAGTTTTGTTTGTTTGTTTGTGTACGCGCAGAGCAGAAGAATTTCTGGTGATAAGCTACAAGTTTATCTTAAATTCACAAAACCGCGTCAATAGATTAGTCACCTTGCTTATGTTTCAACTTGTCACCTCATTTCATATATCCAGCGAAAGTACAATACATAACAAATTATTGCAAACAACAGCTCCTCTAAATTTTATTTTTTGTCAACATTAAGAAAGTGTTTTAATAAAATTTATTTCAAGAAATGGACTTTATTTATTACTTACTATTTATTGTTGTCGGAATACTTGGTTTTTGTTTTGAGAACAGAAACCGAAAAAAGTGCGATAAAATAGTCAACACTTTAAGAAAGTAAGCAATTCATTTGTTCAACTAAGTTTATAAAGTTCTTACTTTTTCACTAGGCATTGCAAGCACTACAAAGTGCTCGGCTTTGATTGCGAAGGTGTAAGCACAGAACGCAATGCAGTCGCCTTATTACAGTTGGCCTCACCTAACGGTTTTTGCGGCTTGTTTCGCTTAAGTGGCATGAGCGATATACCGAAAAGTCTACAGACTCTATTAGAAGACCAAGAAATAATAAAAGTTGGCGTCGATGCTGCGCAAGATGCTCAAAAATTGCAAGAAGACTATGGCATTCATGTGGCTAGTACCTTCGACGTACGACACCTGTCCGTTATGATTGGGTGTAGACCATGGGGCTTGAAAAAATTATCGCAATTGGTTTTAAACGTTAATTTTACTAAGTACCGGAATGAAGTTTCTTCGAACTGGGAAGCCGGGCAACTGAGTGAAGAACAAATCAACTATGCTGCTAATGATGCTTTCGCGAGTGTAGAGATTTTTAAGCATTTGGCTAATCGACTAGTGCCCAGGTAATTCCTAAGAAATCAATAAAAAAACTTCTTGCTTAATGAAAATCTTTGGAATGCTTTTAGGGATCGTTACAATTTCACAAACGCTGACTTTAACGCAATCAAGCCGCTAATTAGACAGTACTTGGATAACGGGTTTTCCGAGAATAGAACAGTTGATGTATTGTTTGCCCTAACACCTTGCAGAGAGGATTGGTTTCTTCAAGCACCAAATGGTGAGCTTTTGTGTAACTTGTGTAGACACAAAGCCATGTGGTATTTGGAAGAAGGACTGGGAAAGGAAATACGATCAGAAGCATTGACCATACGTTTATACGACCATCCGTTTGCTGAAGATAATGGGTATTGGCAGACCCCTAATCAACATGCATGCGTTGTCTGCGGGCAAAAAGACGCTTTTGTTTGTAAAGGTGTGGTGCCGACCGAATATCGTATGCATTTTCCATGTAACGTTAAAAGTTTTGAACTTTTCGATTCTCTTCTAACTTTTGCTACTAATTGCAGTGATAACCCAGTTTTTTACTTCAAGCGACGTCCTGCATTTATGCCCCAAATGTAACGTTTCAGATATTATATCCGATATTAGAATACGTACTGCATTGAGCCAAAAGTGCGATGCTCCGTACAGCTTTGACCAGGTAAATTGTATACTTACCAATTGGAAATATGCGCAAGATTTGAAGGAATTTAAAAAAAAGGCTTAATTGCAAATATATACTATTGCGTAATTCTCTTAACATCTCTATATGATCCTAAGTACTGCCCTCACTTTTTACTGAGTACCTGTCTCGATAAATTACAACTTAATGCTGCTTAGGCAGTCTTAGGCTCAAAAAGGAAAATGTATAGGGTGTTCGGACCTGCTCCAATATTAGAGGAACCAATACTAGAAAATTACAACCGATTCGTTGGAAAGTGAAAAATCCGTGTTAAATGATGAAAGACATGACAACGTAATTTTTCATGATAGCAACGTTTGACTCATTATTTGGGCAATTTTCGATTTAACGCAATGCTGAACTTCTTCTCCGAATAGTCTGAGAAGACCCTTGCGTCTTTTCGAGACACGTTTACTTTCCACCCGAGAGATAAAGCCATTTTAGAAAATTATCCCTTGTACAATTTTTTTTAATAAACGTTTACTTTTGTTTGAAAGAGCTCCTCCAAATCTTAAGCATCCTCCTACTAAAGGCCAGAATTGAAATTCGTGAGTTTTGACTGGAGTTTTTTTGTTTCAATTAAAATGAAACATTCCATCACATCTTCAGGTCACAGAAGTAAAAAGGGCTGCAGAAACACTCTTAACTGACGACAATGCTATATCGACAGGAAAACGCAACCATTTAAAAACTATTTTGTCAACTCATTTTGAAGAAGCCTACATTGATCACCAGAGGATAGTTGATGCGTCAATTCAGTATTCAGACTGGCCAGAGTACGAACACGGTGAAAGAGTTGTGAATAAATTTCAAACCGAATTTGGAGGTTTACAGGAATTGGAAATACTTTTGAAGGATCATTTTGTTACGGAATTGAATCCGAAGTATTTACCATCTTTTTGGGATTGGCCGATAGGTAAATTATTTAGTAATCAAATGGAAAATTATGCATAAGTTTATCTTTTTTGTTTGCATAAACCCATAGATTGGAAATACAAGCCTGAAAAAATAATGCTGGTTTCCTTAAAAAATTAAGCGGGATCGTAAAATTTACAAAAATTCATGAAGACATATATCTTTATACATTCTGCACTAAAAAAAATAAATTGAATTTTTTTATATTTTTAATTGTATTCTTGTTTGTAATTTTTTATAACCATCACCGAAGGCTAAGGGGTATATTTATTTTGTCAAAAAGTTTGCAACTTCCAGAAGGAAGCATCAGAGAACTTACAAAGTACATAATTTCTTGATGAGTATCAAATTCTAAATCGATTTAAGCATGTCCGTATGTCTGTCTGTGTAATGTCTGTTGTAAGCATTCTTCTGGCTGCAAACATGAAGCCATCGACCTTAAATATGTTAGAAACAGAATAAGATTTTGCACACAGGTTGGTATTGAAAATGGGCCAAATCGGTCCAAGGACGCGCTCACACACCGCTACGTACACTGAGAACACCTCTGCATTTCAAAAGTAATGAAAAATTGGTTTTTTGCTCATTACTTCTAAACTATAACAAATAAATATACAAAAATTGTAACGCATATCCTATGGGTGATGCTGTAACATTTGTGTATAAAAATGCAAAAAAATTGACCATGCCTACCCAATATTATAGTATATCAATACTTAATTGTTTTTTCAATTTTATAAAGCGCAGAAACAAACTTCAAAAACCCTATTAAGTATATAAATTCTTGGCCAGCTTCAAATTTGGAATGCACCTAAACATGTTCGCCTATTCGTTTGTCCAAAGTCTGTGCGCAACTTTGTAGCATTTGTGGTAAACATTCCCCCGTTAGCGAAAATGAAAATATCGCCTACAAATATGCAAAAGCATTTGGAATTGACCTAAACTTTTGAAGGACAACGCCCACATGACCATACGACAAAAACTTTTGTTTTGAAAATAGAAAACATCAGCTGCATCCATTTGTAACGTCCGCGTAAACAGATGTAGCGGGTTTCTATCGATCGGCTTGTCTCCTGTTCCTTACAAGAGAGTAGTCTGCAATATAATAACGGAATTCCGTTAATTAGTGCCTCTTCTCATAGTTCTCCGCTCATATAATGGTACAATTGAAAGAGAGAAGTTATGTCTGTGCAGCATTAGGATGGGTTGGGCACTTGAAAATGGTGTGCTCTTTCCATTTGGGTTACTACCGATGACTGAGAAAAAGACTGACAAGTTTGCAAATCAAAGCTATCAAGAAGAAAAAAGAAAACACATAGCTAGACAATTGAAAGTAAAATTATATATTATATAAAACTTTGATTCTAAAGAAAAAGAAGAATACAATGAATGGTTAAAAAATTTAATAAAAAAAGTTCATCGTAACTGCACCTATATGCGTAAGATATGTTATAGTAATTATAAGTATAGCAAGCAAAAACATTGTAGTGGGGCAAGGCCGACCATTAAATACCGTACATCACAATGTCTAACACAATTGTTGTTTTTATTATAAAACACGAAATTTATATCTTGTTTCTATCCGTCTGAGTGGCCGAAGGCGATGAATCTCGACTGGCCGTGGATTCAAATCTCAAGTGCAGTAGAGTTTTTAATAAAAGCCGACAGCCTTATATGCCAGTGCTTAGAATTTATTTCTTTAGCGAAATTAATAATAATAATAATAGTTTTAAAAAAATCGATTATTATATTATTACTCTCAAAACATTTGAATATAAAACTTAATGTTTGTTAGAACAATACAGTATGCACTTATGTCAAATGTCGCAGACGTTTGTCACACAATTTTTTTTAAAGCCTTTGATGCTAGCGCTTTAAGACTTTAGTCTTAGAATTTATTCTCTGGCTAAATTTATAATAATAATAATAATAACATATCTTGTTTCTATATAAAGGCATATTTTTCAAGTACGTATTTATAGGCAAACGTAAACTGTGTAGTACAAGTTTAATTCTTACATAGGGCAGGAGCCAAAAATAAGTATAGATCCAAATTTTCAGAGAGTTCATTTTTGTATGAAATTACTATAATATAATGGGTCAATCTCGACATTTTAAAACTTGGACTTTTCTGCTCTGAAAAGGATCAATTTTCGTGAAAATCGCTATTAGGAAAGGATCCCAAAAATAGGCCGAAATATTCCAAATTTGGTATAGTTAATTTTTTTAAAATTACTATTGCACAGCCTTTTTTGTATGAACTTCAGTTTTCGTTACATGTGAGTGCGTTTAAAAATTTCCCCAGACTGTCCAAAGTTATCATAAAAATTTACTATGCCGAAATATTACTACTTAACCACTTTTGCCGAGAAATTTTGAGAATTACAATTTTCTTCCATATGACGACTTTTCCGAATAGAGTACTATAATGAATAATCAAAAAGTGGACCGATCGGAACCATTTTCAATAGCGCTTGTCCTTGAGTCAAAACACGTCACTGTATCAAATTTTATCAAAATATCGAAAATTGCGACCTGTAGCTTGAGCACAAATTTACATGAACAAATACCAGACAGACAGACGGACAGACAGGCTGAGATCATTTCAGATTATGATTCTGAATTCATCGGCATAGTAAAAGGAAAGTCCATCTTAATCCCTTCTGCGTGTTAGATGTGACCCCACTAAGGTAATACACCCTGTACCACAAATGGTATAGAGTGTAATAAATAAAGAATAACTGATAAGTAATACTAAAAGTAAAAAAAAAACAATAAAGTTCGTTTAACAAAACATTTCAAGAACAAGAACTGTTAATTTCAACATATACGTATATATATATATAAAAACAAAGGAAAGTGTGCATGATACAAGAAAAAAAAAATTAAAAAAAAAAAAACCAAAAAGAACATAGAATTTTATTCTTTTACTTCTTTTGTCTTCTTTAATATAATGGAGATGGGTATAAAGGATTCGGTCCGGACCGAATTCAATTTTTTCTTAGTCTTGTTTTTAGTTTTCTTTGATTTTAAAATTTCTTATTTTAAATTTTATATTTTTAATGTTACTGCTTTTAGGCAACGGGCCAAGGGGTTGGAAAAGAGAAGATAAAAGAAGGTAAAATTTCCTAACAAAAAAGTGTCGACGCTGAACATGTTTACTCCGATAGTCTAAGTGGAAAGTGGGAGTGATCCAAAATAAATTCCTTTTATGGATAAAAGTAGCAATAAATACAATCTTTACAACGAAAAGAGGAAAAGGATCAACGGAAATTGAACATCTTTGTTAGCGACGCTCTGGATATCTTTATATGGTTTCAGACATTAAAAGCAAAAATACTTTTTTAAAGATAGCGAAATTTGCATAAAGACAGCATATAGTTTCAAAGAAAAACTCAGATCATACGAACGAGATGAACGAGATGACTGACTCTGTTCACTGTGATTGCAATCGGCTTAAATGAAAAGCAAACATTTCAGTTTAAAGCTAAGCGTCTGCTACTAATGATAACAACTAGTTGCGACAACATTTCGCTATTTCTTTAATCGGAAGTTCGATCCATACTCTACGCGAGGTGTGAATCTGATTTCATTGCTTTATTTATTGCTAGAATTTTTAAAGCCATAAACAACCATAGAAAACCAATTTAATTTGAAAGACTAAATTTCAGACTGGAATTGATTATCTGATTTCAGAGACGTGGCTTCTCTACCAACAAGTGGATACGCATGAAGAAAGGACGTCAGATAATTGAAGTTTTAAGTATTTAAATTTCGTTTCATTATATATTTTGTGCATCTTTAAATACTAAACTTTCTAAGCATCAGATTTCAGTCCGTCGATCTGTTACATTGAAAGAGCATTCAGTAAAAAAATTGAAACAGAAAGATTACATGTGCCCATAATCATGAAATCGGTCTAAGTCAAATAAAACAGAGCTCGGCAGACTCCTGGTCGAAAATATTTAAGTCGTGATTTAATATTCGTAAAAATTATGGCCTGTATGTAGAAATATGTGACGAAAATAACCAATCATTTGTTAAGAAGAGGATCCACAAGAAAGTATTTAATACTGAATTTAATTTAAATTTTCATACTCCTCAAAAGGAACATGCTAAAAATGCGATTGATTGGAAGGAAAAATCGAAGCATGGAGCAATGAGGAAGATATATTACATCTTAGACAAAGTCATGATTTACATTAGCAAAATGCCGAACGAGCTGGGAATTGTCTTGCAGAGGGCCAGAAAAAAGCAAAGGAAAATCCCGGGGAATATTATGGATTCTCATTTAATTTGCAAAAAGCACTCCCGTATCCAAAACCTTCTGTTTCATTAGTATTATGCATTTTCATGCATATGGAGGATATAACACGCAATAGCTTACAATGATGCTTGTTCAGGCCCAAGTCATTGACATGGATAAAAATTGCTCAGTCATCAAATATTAATATTGAAACGATAGACTACTAATTTTTGGTATCTGGTTATCCTTCTTTCTACCATATCACTGTGGTTTTAGGTTGATAGAAATGAAAATAAATAAGCAAATTACAACATTATTATTAGGAATTGATAGGAAAGTATAGGAAAACAAATGCATTTTCGGTAAAACCAATGTTGCAGCCGGGTTTTAAATCGACGAAATTGCTAGAAGAGTCAATGACAAGAATAGTACAAAATACCGCGGGCTAACCTGTAACTTGGCTGCAAAGTCAGTGGATGAGATTATTGAAAATTAACCTTTTAAGATGTTGTATAAAACTTCTTTAAATGATTCTATATTCCATGACTTGGCGGGAGGAAGACTAAAAACTTCCATTATACACAGACACATACTACTAGACTAGTATAACTAAAGAAAAACATAAAGATTTTTTTACTACCATAAGTCACTTCATTTTTCCACGAACCCTTTAAGAATCTTAAGACCCCGTAATGATAAAAGCCTAAAATGATAAAATGTATTACTTTTCAAAAATAATAAATAAATCTTCATGAATTATTTAATTAAAATTATTGTTTTTAATGAAACTCATAGGTTTTTTACTGCTTTGATTCGGTTATAGGGCATTAAGTTCATTTTGAAAATGATCGAAGTCAATTCAAGCTTTAAACAAAACATTTTTCAATGAAATTCATACAAAATGTCATATTGA